GCCAACTTGACTGCGCCAAAAGCTTTCAAGTGCATGACTTGGGGCTCAGTGTCTGAGTGTATGGGATATCTCCATCGGCGAGCAATCGAGAATCGCGGGGCAGTGGAACGAACGCAGCACATGGTGACCGCATTGCGTCGTGAGTTGTGGCGAAGGATCGTCGGATGAGTCCCGAAGACATTTTAGTGGCTAGGTACTTAATGCACAAGATAGCGAATCAGACTATTGTTACTCAATATATCCATGCGCAGTTCATGCACGAAGCCGAATAGATCAAGGCGAAGTCAATCCTGTTAGGGTCTCACCAATCATGTGATGGGTCATGATAGACGGTGCGCTGTTATCTCCGATAAGTAAAGTCGGAAGCGCATCCCGACAGATTGAACCAACTATCTCGTTCCTACCCCGCAGCCTGCAACAATTGATATCGGACAGTCGCCCCGGAAGCATAGACTATCTTCATACCTATTCTATACAGCATCTCGGCGTCCTAATCCGGTATGCCTATAACACCTAGCCAGGCAAGAACAAAAAAGTGCCAGAGGGCGTAAGTCATCTTGATCAATTGGCCCCAAAATAGAATACCTAACTCACATTTTATAACAAAGCTGTGAGCGATGTCGATCAATGAAGGTCAAATGCTCAGGGGTCAGCCCTTGCACAAGATGTGCGCGGAAGAAGAAGCATTGTCACTTTCCGGTGGAGGAGGCCCGGGTCTCCGTGTCGGAACGGTAAGTAGCGCCAACTAGCTGCACTATACGTGCTAATATAGAACTAGGTACTTGCGAGAGCTAGAGGAGCACATATCCAGAAGCGGAAGCTCGGGGCGACATGGACTCCCGGCAACTCTTGAACACAGTCTAGGGGGTACACTGTTTACAGGCGATGATAATGTTGATGTTCCTCCGACCCCTCAAGCATCCAGCACACTGCTAGACAATCAAGCAGATATTGGATGGCGTTCAATGTCAATCGGTATGCTGTAGCCATTCTTTCAATATGTGTCTGGTGTGTTGATCATGGGTCGTTTTCAGGGATGGGGCCGTCCCTGCATACCCCAGGGACCCCTCAAAGAGATCATGAGACCGACAGTGAACAAGACAATCAACGATCAAGGTTCTCTCGAAATCCTTTAGTGGACCGGGATCCATCGTTTGCCCAAACACCAGATGGCCGATTTTGTGAGTGTTGAGTCTCTCGTCTCGCTCTCTAGCTCCTTACTGACTGGGATATCGAAGGGTATATGGGGCCGACATCATCGTGGTCCTTTTGTCGTCGTGTCCTTGCTTTGATAGGAAGAAAGGTGCCAGAATCAAACTGTCCACCAGATCCATTTCACATTGATGGTGTGGCTTTCAGGTTGACCTGGCGACCATATCCTCCCGATGAAGTACCTGATGTCACTAATCTGCCACCGTTGGACTATGCACTCTTCTTATTCAACACAGTCAAGTTCTATTTCGGCTTTCTTTCTTTTATGATTGATGAACATGCTTATTTGCAGGATCTCCATGAATTCTACCGGGACCCACCAGCGAAAGCTGCTTCGAACAGACCTTGGTACTGTCAATACTTACTTGTTCTTGCATTCGGAAAAGCATTCTTGACGCAGAAGAATTCTTCTGGAACACCGCCTGGTCATCAATACGCATCTCGGGCCATGGCACTGTTACCTGATTTGTCAGGAGTTGACGAAGATCCCTTGGGTTGTATACAAGCACTTAGCTTAGGGGCAGTATATCTTCAGTCAATAGATATGCGAAGAGCAGCTTTCCAACATGTTGGTTTCTTCATCTCTCACTGGTACTGAAGTATCTAATTATGTGAACAGATTGGGCATGCCTTACGAGGCTGTATCATCGAAGGAATACACAGACATGTACCCGAAGATATATGTGGACCGGAGCTCTCCAAACGATGCAGAACAATATTTTGGGTGGTTTATATGTTGGACCGAGAATTTTCTGCTTTGATTGGCGCCCCAAGTTCAATCAGAGATGAAGATATCACAGTTAAACTGCCAGCAGAGATGGATGATTCGGTAGAACAGATTAATTTGACATTGCATGTTCGGCTTTCCCGGCTTATGGCCACTATTCTGACAAGTGAGTCTTTTGGCTGATTAGGTTGGATGCAGTGCTAACGAAATCTAGCCGTCTACGGGGTTGGAAACGATTCCGATGACACCCTCGTTCGAAGCACACAGTCCATTCTTCATAGCATGGCCGAACTCTCATACGACCTGACTGCCTTTTTAAATGCTCATTTTCACGGGTTAATTAGCCGCGCTTCGAAGATGGCGATCCGATTGATGTTAGCCCATCATCATGTGGGTTTTTTCCGAACTACTAATCTCAACATGAACTAACAGCAGCAGTGTATTGTACTTACAACAAGACCGCTAGTGATGTGCGCACTTCACATGCACATTGAACGAACAGAGAGACAAAAATCCCAAACGATCGTGTTAGCACCGCCTGTTGCATCCCTCTTACAATGCTGCGCCGATTCCGCCCAGACTATCCTCCAGACCCTTCGTACTTTAGCTGATGATGACTTGATGGGTATGAATTTACTAGCTGTTTTGAATCACATTAATACTAATTCCAACATACAGACGCATTCTTACCATTCCAAATTGAAGACGCATCGTCCTCTGCCTTTGTTCTCTACCTGATCCGCGCGATTGCCCCATCGGTGATCTCGAACGATACTTGGTGTGACAACCTAGCTTTAGTGCTCGATAAACTCATTGCAAAGGGTAATCTAGCTGCACCACTTCGCAGGCTTGAACTCAAGCAATTAGAGCAAATACTCGCACCTTTGACGCCAAAATTGGCAAATCATTCTTTGCCGCAAGCTAACCTGGATGAATATAATGAAATTAATGAGGAACCCTATAGCTTCGATCACGAGGAGTTTGAGTGGGATCTACTGGGACTCAATTCATCAGTCAGTCTCCCACCGCGGGAATTATTGGATCTTGCAGATCAATTAGACGTGGAGGGGATCATGCAATCTGTTGGGGTTTGATGTCTTGCAATGATCTAATAAACTATACGACTTTTCACAAGAATTCATGAAGTTCAAAATTGCAGAACAAGCAGAGTCTGTTCTTTTCGTACGCGAAGCGAATTTGGTCTAGTTTACGACAGTCGGAGGGTCCTTGTTATTGATATTTGTCAGAATCAAGGACGAAAAAATGACGGTATTCATCCTAGATTCTGACAATATTGCAACTAGAAACTTCCTTGTTGACTCCGTCCTTTCGATCTTATCGTGAAATTGTCGGAAGACTCACCCGACGTTTCTTCAGTATCTCAAAAGACATATCAAATAGTTGAAACAAGCATCACGGTCGCATTTAATCTTGTTGATCTACAAATTCTTTTTATTCCTCTATAATGTCTCGTACCAGAACAATTGGCTGCTTTATATTCAACCAGTATGTCAACCTTTGCTCGCAAGCCCGGCCAGTATCTAATTTGACTCCAGGACTTGGAATTTTACTCCGATCTTACCTCGCATTGGGTGCCATTCATTGCACCAACTGAGAATGAGTTCCTCAGCAACGGCCGTGGCATCAGATGCTGAAACCGCAACGGCACAAAAAAACTACCAAGTAGTCCAAGACACTGGCAATTTCGACGAGATCCAAGCCAAACGCCCAGACTTTGATCATTCTAAGCCCATCGAAGTAACAAAATCGCCAAATCCCAACTGGGAGTATGGGCAAGGGGTACCCGACAATGGAGCCAGCCGGACGCAAAAACATCATGAAATCGACCCTTACGCTTCAGATCGCCCGATGATTAACAACTACCGCCTCCTTGTCTCGGGGATTGCGCCTCGACCGGTAGGGTTTCTGAGCACCGTCAATTCCAAGGGTCAAAAGAACCTCTCCCCATTTAGTTACTTCCAAGTCATCGACCACGATCCCCCGATGTTCATTGTGGGGTTCTCGTCTCGACCCGGTCGAGTCAAAGACACCTACCGCAACCTCCAAGAGACCGGGGAGTGTGTGATCAACACGGTGTCGGAGAACATGATCGAAGCAGTGAACGCAAGCTCTATCGATGCTCCATATGGCGTGTCAGAATGGGATATAACCGGTCTACATGAGGCGCCATCGAGTACTGTAAAGCCATCTCGCGTCGCCGAGTCGGTGTTCAACATCGAAGGCAAGGTGGTTGATATCAAGGAGTTCACGGATCACCAACAGCCTGGCATGAGCCTTGCAGCTACTGTTCTCATTAAGGCTACCCGGTTCTGGGTCAAGGAGGGCACGGCCAATGAGGATTATAGTCACATTGACTTGGAGAAGTTGCGGCCGGTTGGTCAACTTGGGGGAATCTCTTATGGTCGGATTGCGTCGACTTTTGAGCACCCGCGAAAGAAGTGGGGTGATGAGGTGCCGAAGAGTGAGATCTTGGCTAAGCTAGATGCTGCTAGGCCTCTTGAGGAATGAGAGATCATATTGGTGCCTGAGGTGCTATTGCTAGCGTTGTGTCTCAGGTGCCAGCGCCTAGGCATAGTTAACTAATTTCCTACACAGTCAAACAAAGCAGACTTCGAAGAGTGTTCCCTGGTCTTTATATAATAGCATATATGTTAACTATATATACTACTATTAATTAACATCAAAGATGTTAACGGCACGTAGAATGAGGGATGTAACCCCATATTTTAACCAGAAACCAATATCAGCCACCCCCTTTTAATCTCTTCGTCGGGACGAATCAACTTCTTCAATTCGTACGGAGAACTCCGCACATCGAATAGGGTTATAAGAAGCGGTACACAATCTGGAACACCAGCCCGTTTGGTTTGTTTCTGTTTTTCTTCTCTAAGACATTGTGTGATTCACTTATTATTCACTTACTTGGAGATTTCTCGCACACACTCCTTTATATCCCTTCTGATCTGAGAACCCCCTTCACTCTTTTTATTTCCTGGTTCTCATCAAATACATTCTTTAACTTTGACTATAACCGACCACCATGCTCCCCACACTCCTTACCGTCTTTCGTCGCGACTGCAATGGCGACGAAACCATGTCCAGCTGCACAAAGCCCACCAGCTCAGCAATAACCGTTGGCATTCCCGCCGCGATATCAGGGGTGTAAGTCCATTGATATACTTATACTATCGCCCATTCCCAACCATGGCAGAACTAACTATATATCAGTCTCCTTATAGTCGCCATTATCGTCCTGGTAGTCCTATACCACAAGCGCATACGTCGCGATGACCGCGAAGACCTAGAAGATCGCCAGCGCAGCTCTGGCTTCTATGCTCGCTACGCAACACAGCGATTTGGCACGGAGGGAGGACCACCACCATCGAAAGGAGGTGCCTATGCTTCTGAGTCGCGGCGCAGCTCTGCCGATTCAATCTTTGATTTCAAGCAGGATCACGGCCCCTATCACCTTGCTCAGTTCCCGAATCCTGAGGTGCCGAAGCCGGTGGCTGCTCGGGTCGCTTCGTAGTCAGTGCGGGGTTTGATCTGCTTCTTGCTGTAAGTCTTGATGGTTTGATATGACCAACCTGGAGTTGGGTGCTGACTTGCGTTAGGTTCCTGCGGGTCAGGACGGTTTCTTCGATTTTCGGCGCTTCTTCTTATGGGCGAACCTGCTTGTTTCCAAGGTTCTTTTGTCCAATGTATGTAATTTTATGACTTTCGAGCGATCTGAAGCCATAACGTAATAGCGAATATTTTTTTTTCCCACTTTACACAATATTCACGGCGGGTTGGAACGATGTAGATAAATGTCTGTGTTCGAAAGCTAAGACTGGTATAAACAGTAAGTCAATAGTACATTTGTAGATACTGAAATCATTTTCATAAATAATACATTGGTCGTGCACAAGACACGAGACCAATCACTCGGCATTCTCTATGACCTGGTCCTCCAAGACTTGGTCACTGCGCTCGGGGGATGGCTCGACCGCAGGTTGGACATGGAAATACCCCATTTGGAACAAGACATTCTGCCATTCTGGCCCTGCGGTGGCTTGCACTTTGTAGTAAGGCGTGTCCGTAGCGAACCACCTCTCTTTGCGCGTTGAGGCTTTGTCGCCTCCTTCGAGGGCTGCACGACTAGCACGTGTCGTGCGGGAACGCTTCTCGCCGCGCCCGTTCTCCTGCGCCGTGAGTGCAAACAGTCTCTCGCGGTATTGCTGGAGGCGGCCGTCGAAGACCATGATGCCACGGATATACGGAGCCAAGTCTTCCGTGATCGGTGCGAGTCCATTTTCGAATGAGGGGGCGTGGCGGGCGGTTGGTGTAGGGTTTGAATAGTTGGCACGCATGATAGGTTCAAAGATGCGTTGGAATTGAGGGAGGGTCGATGGAGGGGTCTGCGGGGGCATTGCAGAAATGATGGCTTTGTTCAAGAGTCGGGTCGCATATGAAGATGCCAGATCCTCGGTATTTGGAGGACGGAATGTTCTACTTATCAATGCATCGAAGGTAGTGCCGACGGCTTCACTGAATGATGAATACTCCGTTCGCAGCTCTGTGTGCAGGAGTGGGTAATCGTCAACATAGTTGGATTTATAGCCTTCTGGCGGTGGTGGGGCGGATATATCAATAGCATCCTATTCAATGATTAGCTGGCGTTTCTGTGGACTTATCGATCAAACTTACATTGCTCGCGTCCGTGGAAATATTGGAGCAAAGGATGTCGAGAGAGCTTCTCATATCATAGTAGTTTGCTTCCCGGAACAACATGTCAAGTTGCGTTGTCTTGGAAAGAGACTGAAATTGACCAGGGGACAGAATTTCAACTTCATTCTTCCCAGCCATGTCTTCAGAATCTTGCAGGCTCAGGCCCCACGATTGAAGACTGTTGTGAATGATTTCCGTCTCTTCATCCAACGAACCTTGGGCCACAATAATATCACGATTGAGCCAGCCCATATATCGCTCGTATGTGTTGAGGCTCAGAACCCGGAGTCGATCCCCATCATGATCCACGTTTGAGCCAGGTGGCCAAATAGGAAGTAGCCAATCCAAACCCGCTTTCTCGCTACCAACACCCATCTGGCACCAGAAGTTTAAATTCATCAGTGACTTCCGAAGATCCAATCCGGATCCTTGATAAAGTCTGGTAACGGCCTCTCTCTTTAAAATATGCCCCTCGTTGGCGGCAACCAACAGCAAGTAATCGACGCTGAATTCGGGAGCAGGCTTTTGGTATCGTAGTATGGCATGAAGGGACATATCCTGGGTAGGGACTAAACTCTCATTGTTGCAGGTGATGACGATGGGCCGTTTAGATTGGCTAATAAGAGTCAGGACACCACTCCAAAATTGACGATCTTCTTCAAAAAGAATATCGACTTCTTCAAGCAGGATCAAAGATTGTTTTTGCTCCCGGGGGCGTTTGGGTGCAGTTTCAGGCTTAGGGCTAGGTTCGCCAGACCGGGAGACCGGCTTGCTGGAATTTGAGGATGAGCCTTTGAAAAAGCTCTTCAGCTTGTTTTGCTTGGCGAAATCTTTGTTGTCTGTTGAATTTTCGGATTCGTTGAGGAGATGAACAAGATGATTTTGCGTCATATCTCCGACGCGTTCTAGCATATCCCGGGCACTTCGTCGGCTTCCAGCATTTATCTCGAAAACTTCGAAATCAAGTTCTTTTGCAACAGCATAGACAGAAGCGGTTTTGCCGGAGCCAGCCGGACCGCTAAGAAGAATCGCATTGGACATTGGATTCTTTCTTTCTACTCCAGGTAAACCAGGTGCTATGTCGCCCGACCGGACGACTGTCCTTCGAGGTGTTGTGGTCACGCCGCCCGCTAACTCATCATCTGAGCCAGAGAGACAGTCCATCTCAGAGATCTCATCTTCGCTTGATACAATGAAACCATCGAGTTTATCGGTTTTTTGGCGCTTCTTCGCCTTTCTTTCCCGCTTCAATTTCGCTTTTGTATTCTCCTTTGATGATTTTCCGGTATCCACTGCTGTGATTTTGAGATGCCGTAGCCAGTCTCGAAGCACCTGTGGTTCACGGCCAAGCTGAAGGACGTCTTCAGCTGACTCGGGGGCGTATTTGTGTGTCCAAAGCTGTGGTTCGTAGGTTGCACAATCAAAAGCCGAAACTGATGTGAGTAGTCCCGATCGAAGTTTGGCAAGAGGGGGACTAGCAGAATCCCAAGGAAATTTGCCGTTTGGCGAGGACCACGACATTTGTCTTTCCATTGCCGTATGCAAGACTTGACTGCTGGCAACATGTCGTATGGGATGTCGAAGAATAGCCAGGGCATCGTAGTCCTGTTTAGACAGGCGGGCGATCCTGCTTGCTTCAGCCGTTCCAGCTAGAAGGACGTTTTCGTCATCTCTAATTGAGATAGCTGCAATCTTCGATTTTTTTCGGTCCTGGGCAGTATGCCAGATACGGTCATCAACATCTGAAGGTGAGTGAGCGTCTCTAACGTGCACGAGATCCTGCGGTGGCCAAAGGGGATCAAGCAGTTCGGGAAACTTAGAAACACGACGGGGAAAGCTAGTAAAGGAGCTTCCCGAAGCTGCAACTACCCGCTTCTTATCTGGTGCCCCAGCTGTAGTTTGGCTTGAGGGCACGCTCACGCTGCTATCTGGATTGTCCGATTGAGATCCATTCAAGCTCTCGGGCCCGGATTTTTGTGCTGATTTCTTGCTGAAAAACGGGTGTGTGGGCTTTCGGGGTTGGCTTTCCTTCTTGCACGGCTTAACGGATGGTATAGTGGCAGGGGGCTTTTGAACGGTTCGACTATCTTGGATATCATCGATCAACTTTCCGATGTTCTTTTCTGTGGCAACACTATACTTTATCGTCACCACCTTGCGCTCAGCTTTTCGCGGCTTCCTTCGCTTCCCTGTAATTCCCTTTTTTTTCGCCTCTTGATGAGGACTGGAGGTGGGTGACGACAGCAGCCCTCCCTTTGAATTCAATTTGAGAATCTTCTGCCTTGCAGAGGTTCTTGCACCTCGGCCCTTTGGTTTCTCGTTCTCGGATGGTGTCAATGATTGAGTTTCATCTTCAACAAGTTGGGTCTCCACCAGCGGACCGTCGGGTGGAGGTGTAGACACATTGATTTCGGTCTCGGGAGGATTATCGGTTGATAAAGGCGTATTGTTGGTCACATTATAACCGAGCCATTCTGCCAGACCTGAATTGGAAATGGTAGTGGATCCGGTTGTTTGAATTTTGTTCGTTCTTCGTCTCTTTCTCCGGTGTTCATTCAGGTCTTCGTCAAGATCCGCAGAACTCTCATTGTTTATGTTGGAGACATTTGAATTGTAGTTCCCCGGGACCTGAAGCCCCTCCTCGTGCGTGGAGCTTTGGCTGCTTATCGGTCGAGGATCGTGTACGTGGGAATTCACAGGCAAGATTGGCTCATTCGAGGGTGTAGATTTGACCGAGACACCAAATTCTAGACATTGTAAGCTCAGAGTCACCTGTAGCTATAGGACACATCCTGACCTTGTCGGAAGAAGGGATGTATGACTTGCTCTTCGTCGGTTCCCATAGCCATCGGTAGATTTGATATGATGCTCATGTGAACAGTCAGTTGATCCCTGAGGAGAGGCCAGGGAGCAAGCGGTATCTCAGAAATAGCATTGAAATGACAGAATTTTGGTGGTAAGTGTGGTGCGATTGCATGAAGCAAGAACTAAGTCAAGGCCGATCTCCATAGCTTCAGACACGTCCGACGCGAAGGGCGCGTTAATTGCTTATGTCAGGCTGACTGCCGCACGTACCAACGCTAGCCCTGATATGGCTTAGGGGTGGATATACCGGCCCGACGTAATCCCGAAAATTTTTCAGATTTCCAAATTGGATGGGTCTGCATGGAAAAGATCACACGCTTTGAGGGACAGGAACTTAAGTCATTTTAAATTCCTGGTATTCCGTTCGTCATGGATTTGCAGTCCCCATCTGTCCTGGCGCAATTGCCTCGGCCCCTTCACGCTTCTACTGGCAAAACCCGCGTCGGGGATGTCTTCAGTCTCGCCGATGCGAAAAAACGCAAACGCTATGAAGTCGCAGTTGCCGTAGATGGCGAGGCTGTGAACATTTACAACGTATGCTTGCTCATTATCCAATGCTCCCTCAGTTGCATCTGACACTAATCTTTATCAGGTTCAAACACCTAAGCTCGTGACTTCCTACGCCGTCCCACCGCAATCTACTTTCTCTTGCCGCCCATGTTCAGTTCGCAGGAAGCTGTCAAAAAAATCAACAGTCCGAAGACAGACTTATACTGCTGTCACGAAACCCGAACATCAGATCAAGTGCTTTGTGGAGGAGATCGGCAGCAGCGGCTCAAGTGCTCCGGTCATTTCTTCTTCGACTACCACCGTGACCGACTCGACCAGCCCCACTACTTTTGTGGGAATTGTGCCCTCTAGTACCGATGCCGAAGGAGAGACGGATCCATTTGATATATTGGCTGTCCACGAGGATGGTCGTGTGCGTAGACTGTCGTCGGATTTAAAAACCCAACGATGGAGTATTCAGCACAGTGAGATTGCAAAGGTTTGCTCTACTCACAATGTTCAATCCAGCTTCTTGGTTGAATTTGATGATGCAAAGAAGGCTTTGTTCAAAAGACGACAGGATTTGGCATTGCTGGCGCTGGGCGATCTGACAACCTCAGGAACCAACGAGCCGTCTATCTTGCTTCTGGTATCCCAACCGAAGAATACCGATCGAGTCTCCCTCAAAGACATCATTGTGCAGATGTTCTCAGTCCCCGCGCATGCGAAGTCAGAGTCAGGGTTGGACGAAAGTCAGCGCCTACGCCATCTACAAACTTTCCACATCCCGGATGTGAGTGGCCTAGAAGCCACCAATGGCAATGCTATGCAATGGAGCTTCCATTCTGGCTCAGCAGGATTGAGCCTTTCTTTCGAAAAGGGTTTCATCAACGTTGACCTCTCCCAGTACTCTCCCTGTGTCACATCGCAATTCGTCCTTGAAGATGAGGAATTCTCCTCGGTCATGCGCATTTCTCCCCAATCTGTGATTGGAGCCCAAAAATCTCTTGTGGCGGTATATGATACTCAGTACCATTCTGTGCAGCGCAGCATTCCAGCCGGTGATCTTTTGTCAAGCACTGGGTCGACCCCAGAGGCTCCCACAAACTTCATCAGCTACTTCGCCAAACTTGGGATTGCTATCGCAACCAAGGGCAATACCCTTATTGCTTTTGACTTGAGCTCTCTCCCTAGTGCGCCCAGCTCTTCGCTGAAGCGGACCAGAGATAGCCTGCTCATCGATGCTATCGGGAGAGGTATTGGTTCTTCTGGTGCACAGTGGGATATCTCATCAAAGAAGCACCGATCTGACAACATGGCCTCTCTTCGGCTTACATCACCGGAGCAAGTTGAGAAATGGACACAGCTCACAAAAACGGTGGAGAAGGCGACCAAGACGAAGAACATTGACTTGTTTGATAATGCGGTCCTGACCTACTTCAGCACATCGGATGCCTCAACGACGCTCCCAGTGCGCGGGCAGTATGTTAACCCCGAAGCAACTCTTTTCTTGCTGTCCAAAATATTCGCTGTGGAGGAGTCTGCCACAGATGATACAATGTCGGCCTCCCCTTCATCTCAACTCCGTGTTGCCATGTGGCCCCCGACTACTTGTGACTGGCTTATTCGCTTGGGACATCTGTCACTCGACAATGTTGAGATTGCGCTCCGTCGTGCATGCAAGCCACGCATTTTGCAGCCATTCCCCACCGGCTCGTTCATCCAGGCTCTCCTCGATTCAGATCCCTCCTTGAAGCAGGTCAACCAAGTGCTTGAGGGACCAACTCTGATTTCCTCCGATGAGTTGGCCTACGCGCTCAAAGCCTTCTTGAACCAGGCACGCTCGCACTCTGGAACTCTCGAGGAAACAGCTCGTGCGATCACAAACGGTGATCTTGCCACTCCCACCCAGGAACTTTCTAGACAGCTAGGGGCCGAAACGGCAACCCTAAAGGATATATTCGCTGGCCTGAATACCTCCCTTCAAAAGATTCACTCGCAGCCCGTGTCGGTTGTCGTTCATTCCCTCCGCTCCAATCTCTCGCGGACAGAACTTATTTCTATGGTTCACCATCTCCGTCTTTCCCTCGCTACTGGAGGCTACACTTCTCGGTTCACTGAAAACCCCCCAACACCTATTACTCTCGACCAAATTACTCCCACTCTTTCTCTCGATGTCATCATTGATCTCATCACTGCCTCTGTGGATGCCGTGGGTCCATCCGGTTGGATCTCGGCCGTCCCCGCAGCGGGTGACTTTGAGGACTCAGTCGCTGCCGCTGCTAGCCGTGAAATGGAATTGATTGCGGACATGAAGTCTGAAGTCTCCGCCGCGCTTGCAGGAGTGGAAGAGGCAACCTATCTCAAGGGTGTCTTGTGCGAGTACCTCCGCTTCGCGGATCAAGTTGACACCCCCGCTACTACCTCCGAGGATGCCCTGGCCAAGATGGATTCCGAGGCCGGTCCATCGCACCTGGTCCGCTACGAGAAACTCAATGGCGCCGACTTGCTTGTCTTCACCCGTCCCGGCGAGGGAGAGGACGGCTACGATGGCGATGCTGGTGGCAAAATGCTACCGCTGTCACTCAAAGCTGCTTCCAATGACGTGTCCCGCACTAAGATTAAAAAATCCACGGGCGAGGTGAAGCATCGCAGCAGTCGTGAGATTGGTTACTTGCGCCGCAAGGCGGTTGGCAAGTACTCATTCGAGAGACTGATTATTTAAGAGCATGTGCATTCCATATTTTTTACTGTAAAATTCATTCTTGAGGGAGACAATATCCTAGGAGTTAGACAGAACAATACATATGTGGGTTCCCACGTATTTCAATTCTTCATTTTTTTTTCTTTTTTGGGCAATCAAGGACTTCTCGCCCTTGCGCGTGTTAAAAATGTTTCGACGATACTATTGGAGCCAGCACAATGAAATTCTCGAGGGTCAATGTATTTGGCTGTTTTTGGTAGTTGGCGATCTACCTTGGGAGCCTTGCAGCTATATATAAGTGGGACCGAGGACGAAGGATTCATCCAGCACTGAGAAAAGAAGATCTTTTCTACCGATCCATTGAATAACATTAAGAACATCACTAAATATTACATAGAATAGAAAATAGGATCAACTCAACTAACGCTTGTTTACCTTAAATAAAGAACAAAACAGAACTAAGTGGGACTAGTCAACCTGTTAAGCTACAAAGGGATTCAATAGTCTAGCTCGGATCTGGGGGTTTAGAGATATTCTTGTCCCAGGCCAGAAGACAATAGTGGAACTAGGGTTAAATACAGTTGATAGATCTCAAAACGTCTATACTAGTTTATATTATTGCTTTCTATAGAATATCAATCTGGGCGGGAGGCCAAAAAAGGTAAACAAGAAAGATAATAAACAAGGGAGAGCTCTGAGTGGAGATACCCTGGACACCGCATCTCCGCACTGTTCAACCCACCGTTCAACCCACCGTTCTTCTCATTCCGAGCAAAGATTAGCTCTGATCTATACGTTTTCATGTCGTTGGTGTCGATGTGAAGTTGGTTTGGATCCGGAACGCGTACCGGCATCAAAACAAAGAAAAATGAGTAACCAACCATGGCTTGACAGTTTGTCGGACGACTGGCCATCTCTAGCGCCCAACAGTCCTGTACCTGTTCCTGCCTTACCGGAGTCGCCTAAAACCAGCCAGCAGGGAACTCCTAGTCGCATTCCTATGCCCGCGCGGCGTTCCCAAGAACAACAATCACCGGGAAGCAACAAAAAGGACAAGGTTACCCGACCATGTCATTTCCATAGAAGAGAACCTCCGACGCCGAAGACCCCCCAACCATTCAAAACACGCAAACCACGATCGCCTGCCCCTGGTAGTTTGAAATACAGCCCTCCCAAGACCACCCCAGGGCCCTACGCCAAGGAAAATCTCAAGGCCAGCCCCAAGCCGACGGGTCGCAGACAGCCCTCAATGGATGCGCGCTCCCCTCTACGATCGGTTTCAAACGCCTCCAGAGCCTCCTCCACAACTTCCGAATTCGACGGTACGGTTCAGATCAAATCGAAGGGCAAGGACGCAAAAGAGGGTACCCCGGAATGGCGCAGACGACTAGTGCGCGGGGAAATCGCTGCTGGCGAGCAACGCGACCTGTTCGCGCCGATAGGTCTCGAAACCGTGTTCAAGCCGCCCACACCCCGTGCTGAAACGGAAACGGCACAACAGGCCTCTACTCCCTTTACGAAACAGGACGACAATCTGTGGGATTTCGCCGGTACATCTTCGCGACAAAATAGAGACGAACATAACAGTCGCGAGGATGATCTCGAACGCGTCGCCAATGAGGATGTAAGGGACCATGGCGACCAGTCGCCGGAAGGAACGGTCAATCGCGCTCCTTGGGAGAAGAATGGGGGCCTGGACGTGGATTGGGATCAGGAAGGGCTCTCACAATCGGGGAATACACAACTACGGACTGCTAGTGGGTTGGAAGATCTGCGCAATGAAGGAATCACACCCATAACCTTCTCCCGCAATAACACTGTTGATGGCAATGGGACTTCGGAAGTCATCAAGTCCGCGCTGAAGCAGGTCACCAACAAGTTGGAAAGCCTGTCTATCGAAAATGATAGTCGCCCGGACTCCGCTGCAAGCGATAGCTTCCTCTTTTACAACCACAGTGAACCTAATGCGGACGGGTCTCCACGAGATGACAGCTTGCTGGACGCGACAAGTCATTCTCTACCCCGGGATCTGTCTATGGGGACGATGGACTTCAGCAGTCGGCGAAAAAACCGCTCCTTCCCTCGGCGATTCTCCCCTTCGCCCTTTCCTTCCCACCGTTTGTCCCCCATCACCCTCGCCAACTCTAAAATCCGCAGTTCACCTCTGTTCAACCCCCCTCACAAGACCACGTCACCTGGTCTACCGCATCCTTCCTCGTCTCATGTCCGGCCGGCCACGGCTGGAGCAGAGAATGAGGCCAAAATGCCGTCATCAGGAAGTCCATTGAAGCTGTTCGGTGACCATGACACATTCACTAATAACAGACTTCTCCGGCGCATGAGCCAGTTTGAAGACAATTTCAGTGACACATCAGAAGGAGATGAGCCCCCTTCGCCCTCGGAGGAAGCGCGACGAAAAGGCGAGAGCCGCAGCTTTTTAAATTCGAGACACGAGCCATTGCAGGAGATCTCCCCTCGGCGAAACGAACGTCTTGGATCTCGCAATGCTGTAAATCGAATCAACCAATTTGGGGGTGGCGAGTTGGATACATTTGATTTCTCAGACACTAGCCCCTACGAGCACAAATTGGTGTACGATGAGGCCGGAGGGTTTGGGTCCCGCCCATCTTCACGCAAGCGATCGTCAGCCCGGCAACAATATCTCCGTGGCCCCTCACAGCAAGGATTGTATCATTACAGCAGATCAGCGAGCTCAGGATTCACTAGGAAACCATCTGCCTGGATGCGCCAGGATTTCTTTGATGATGTGCGACACGGGAATCGGCCCAATAACAAGGAAAATATGGCCCTTGATGTCAAGCGAGTGCCCCGGGCCCCCGGCATGGATCCCACACCAAAACGGCGCCGGACAATCATGAGAAATAATAGCTCCGAACCCAAACAGAATGCCGGCGGTTCATCTCAGAAGTATGGCGACATGTCGCTGTTGCAACGAAGTCTTATGCAACACGGTGTACAGCTCGACAATAGTGACTACCTTGCTCCACCAGGCCCTTCTCACTCAATGCAGCGACCTCGAACACCTACACCAAGCCAAATACGAACAGAGGGCGAAAGCCATATTTCACTGCACAGAGATTTCTCCGAATCCAATTTCGACAATAATGATTATTCTGATTCTTTTTCCCTTGATGGTGACGTTCCAATAGTGAAGATTACTGGGACCAGCGATACCTCACGAAAAGGATCTATCACCACTCAGGATTATTTAAACGAAGCCACTAAGATCATGGATCTCATCAGATCCAAAGGACGAGGCGCAGCTGGATTGTCAAGTCTGCATGAGTCTGACGTGGAAAGTGAAGGCGACGACTTCAGCGACGACGACGAATCCACCCGGGAAGCGTTTTCTCGCCCTCCGAGCCGCGACGGAACGGATCTTCGCAAGTTGAGAGAGGTGAAGGAGGTGAATCCAATGATCCTGAGTCACCTGAAAAAATACCAGGAACAAGATGACCCGAATGACCGAGAAATGTCCCTGCATGCTCGCCATGGCCAGGACGAGGGCCAAACCGAGATCGGTGAATCCAACTCACAGCTCATCCGATTACATGGACCGAGGAAACGAAAGACTAGTGGCATGACTGATGACACGGCGGAAAACATCGCCCATGATCTGATGACTATCAACACACAAATGTCCGGGTTCAGCGCCACCTCCGTACCCACGGGCTCTTCACAAGGTTCCCACGTCAAGGGTATGCTGGCTTCTGATCTTGTAGCCCACCTGATCCCGAATGAGGTTAATGGCTTCAAGTATGACCGATCGAAGAATCAATGGGTGAAAGATGAGGCAGAAGAACCACATGCACCAATCTCCGAACCCGCCTCGGAGGCTGATGATCCATTCAAAGATATTCCGGATCTCACTGTAGACGAGCTCCAGGAGATGTTGAGAGTCCAGGGTCTCAATTCTCCTACAAAGACCGACGTCCCAACCGAGCGAGAGCAAACCAAGGCCCGCAGTCCTTTGGCTGCGAACACATCCCCGAAGAAACCCGATGTTCGACCACACACCAGGGATGGAGAACCTTCTCTTGGTGCAAGCTCGGTTCAATCAAGATTCACTCGCTTCACGTCCAGTGTTCCTAACACGGGGACAAGAGCTACATCATGGGGCACAGACGAAGCCGCAGAAAGGAAAATCTCCGAGCAAGGAAAACTTGAAGCTCAGCGCGACGAGCCATTGTCCTCGAAGAATCCCCGATCTCTAGGGAAACAAGCGCGTGTCGCAACAGTGAATCTCTCATCGCCCCTTTCGCGCCCCTCTTCTCGGGGTGAGCCTGATAATGGCCAGTCCGACCCGACCGCGAATCACACCTACCACGGAATTGTGCCAGTCGAGGATTCAGCCCCAGCGGACCACGAAAATGGATCAACACGGTTATCCGTTCCTCCCACGGGGCGTCAAACTTCAGTTGGTGGCCAGCCGTTTATTCGACGTCCTATCTCGAGGATTGAGGAGAGAAACGAGGAGACCGTCAATGACCAAAGCCTTGTGCGCAGGAATGACTCACTTGGTGTCCGAAAGACACCAGCCAGAACCGAGGCAGAGCATTCTTTGATACCTCTCCAAAGTGCCGGGCCTGACACGAGCTACAGCTTCCACCTCAGTCCACTTGCGGACTTTACCGTCCACCAAGCTGATAAACCCCTGAACCTTGAAATGAGCTATGTGGCTCATCGTACAAACCCTTCCTCTTTGCGACAAGTGCACGGGACTTTCGCATTGGCAACTGAAGATTTGATCAAGCATATTACTGACGTGGAACCATATGAGCCTTATTGGGAACACGTGCGCCGCCTTGTCTTGCGCAATAAGGGTTTGATTACGTTGCACAAGCTGAACGAATTCTGTCCCCGCCTGGAAGAGTTGGATGTTACTGATAACGACATTGGTCAATTGAGTGGCATCCCCTCAACCCTGAGAACCCTCAAGATCCCTCGAAATTGCCTCTCCAACCTTACTCCATGGGGTCACATGATCAATTTGCAGTATTTGGACGTTTCAGGAAATGATATCGAGACGTTGGATGGCTTCGCAAGTTTGATTCATCTCCGGGAACTGAAGGCCAATGACAATCAGATCCGCAACATAGACGGGATTATTTATCTTAATGGTTTGCTAAGCCTGAAGCTGAGCAACAACTCTATCACTACTGTGGATTTCGAAGGGTCCGAGTTGACACGCCTTCGTGATCTTGACTTGAGCCACAACTGTCTAACATCTGTCCGGAATGTCGAATGGCTTCCGTCACTTGCCACTCTCGATGTTAGTGCCAATCAGATCAGCGGCTTTGACTCGTCTGCTTCCCTTATTAGTCTCCGCGCCCTGCGACTCTCTGAAAATAGATTGGAGGCTTTAGATGCACGAGCTTTCCCTTCCGTGAGCCTTCTCTACCTTGATCAAAACCACCTTTCTACCGTTATTGGCCTTGAGAATTGTCACAATCTCGAGGTACTGTCTCTCCGAGAGCAGACAGCGTCCAAAGAAGCGTCTAAAGAAAAGAAAATTGAACACAGGTTAGATATTGACTTGGGACTTGTCAAGGATGTTCGCAAAGTCTTTTTGTCTTCGAACAAGCTTTCCGACCAAAGTGTCTGCCCTTCTGCTCCGCTACTACGACTTCAACTTCTCGATCTAGCTGCATGCACATTGAAGAGTCTCCCGGGTGATTTTGCTTTAAGCTTCCCGAACCTTAAAGTCCTAAATCTGAATTTCAACTCGGTTGATGATGTGGAGCCACTGATTGGAATGAACTGCCTTGCTAGACTGATGATCGTTGGCAATCGTCTCTCAAGGATGAGAAGAATCTGTCAGATTCTCAGTCGACTAGGAAAAACCGGAAAAGGAACTGCATGTTCTTTGCGCAAGCTTGATATCCGTGGGAACCCGCTAACTGTTGGCTTTTACCCCCCAGCGGTGACTGGGAGTGGCAATTCGGATCGCAAGAAATTGAAGTCGCAAGAACAAGCAGTCGTCCGACACCAAGGGACCCACCGGGACCTTTCTGATGCTCTAGCTGATCTGGGGAACGATGACCAGAGCTCTCACCGTGCCACCGTGGGCGATCAGCCGACAGACAGAGACCCCGAAGTCGACGACCCATACACACTTCCGTTCGCTGACCCGCAAGCGGATGTGAAGTACTTAACGCACCTCGATCAGTCCACACGTCTACGCCGAAGAGTGCTAGAGCTCTTGCTCTACGCCGGCACGAGTGGCTCTCTCCACACCCTCGACGGACTAGACCTTCGGCCCTCGCTGGGCGACGAGTCCTCCGACATGAACAAGGCGTGGGACAGATTGGAGAATCTTGGTGTATTGCGGAGGAAAGCGATCAAAAATTAGGCTATATTCTTTGTTATTCTTCTATCGAGTTTTTTTCCCCATCATGCGAAAAGCGCGCGTGATTTGAGCATTGCTGGCGGCGTGCATGGAGTTTTGTTGTTTCTCGAGTTGGAATTAGCCTTTTATGTTTGTACAGCATCAGCGCATCACCGGAGTTGGATATCGAATCAATTCTGGCATTTTAGCATTTCTTATTGTTGCAAGCTGTTCGGGCTTTTTGTCTTATTGTGGTACGCCATAATAGAATGAGATAGAGCCCCATGCTTGATCTACGTCAGAACTTGTCTCGCTGTGTGGTGACCTTGTCTTACGGCCTATACAGAAATAAGCTTACAATTGCCCCGAATTTGGCTATGCAAGCCCCCAGGTAGTAAGCTCATTCTCAGACAGCAATCGATATCTCTCTTCTTCTAGTAGCACAGCTCCCCGAGTGATATGATTTTACTAGAGCAGTGGGGCTCTGTGGGGTTCGGGCCGACCCGATGAAAGGATTGCAAGGACTTCCTGGTGGCTAATTACCAGGAACAGTCCACTTGGCGGGCGCGCGATATTAAATACTCTGGAGGTATTCAAAAATTTGAAGAAGCCTGGGATGTTGGAATAACAATGTGTTAGTAAGGACCGAGGTCTCTTGTATTGCGAAAAAATTAAGGATGAAATTTAGTAAAAATAGAAAGAAAAATACATAGAAGTATATAATCCAGCGTATGTAGCTTAATAACAGAAGTCCTGCTATATAGGCTGCCAGGTCAGGTCCGGACACCACAATCCGAGGACGTCAAATTATTTCTTGCCCTGAACAAGAAGTTGCTTCTGCTTCTTGATATGCTTGACCACTTCGATATCGATCTTCAAGACGTTGGCAACAGTATCAGCAGGAGTCAACGCCAGCCACTGGGCCAGGGAGATATCAGCGACGCGGTCGCTCTTGTAGAGCTCGATCCACACGAGTTTCTCGGTCTCGGAGGTGTTCTCGATATAGTGTCCTTTTAAAGAGATTTAGCATATTGACTCGGTATTGGGAAAATGGAGAAGTATACTTACCACTGTTGTCGGGGAAAACACCGGTGTCACCCGCGTGGAAGTCGAAGGTGCGAGCCTTGGAGTCACCAATGAACACTGTAGCACGGGCTTGACCCTGGTGGAAGTAGAGCCATTCCTCAGCCTAGATGGTGGTTAATATAGGTTTCTTCTCAGGCACTTGTGTGTTGTGTAAAAACTTACATTAGGATGCCAGTGAAGCTCACGAAGACCCTTGGGCTCCAGTTCCACAATCGAAGCAGCAAGAGTCTTTGAGATGGGGAAGTTGGTGGAATCAATCTTGCGGAGTGTTCCGCCGTGACCAGGGACAGGCTCAGAGGGGTGCTTGTAGGTGTGGTAGACGTAGGAATTGTCACCTCTCAACGTACCCTCGGGAGCCTTGTCAAGGTCTTTGCTGACAGTGCCGTTGAGGATGTAAGGGAACTTTGAAGGGACCGAGTCGAAGACCTTAGGGTCAACACCAAAGTTCTTGGCGAGAATGTCCCTGGGGGTATGGGCAATCCAGTCGTCAACCATGAAGGTAGTACTTTTTAATTAGTATATTGAGTTTTCAAAAGTGTGAATGGAGCATACCCAATCTTCTCAAAGTCACCATCATCAAAAGCGAGGAGGTACTCGTTCTCATCGTCTAGACCCTGCACGTTATGCGCGACACCCTTAGGGAAATACCAGATATCACCGGTTTCAAGAACCTCGGTAGTGAAGCCGCCGTTTTCATCAACACCGGACAGCAGGAGCGAGCCGTTGTAGACAAATCCCCACTCGGCCTGTGTCCTAAAGTAAGTCAAATGTCGTAGAAAGTATATATGTGCGGCCACTAACCGTGCGGTGCCAGTGTAGTTCGCGGATGGCGCCCTTCTTCAGATGCTGTTGGGCACCTGCGATGTCATGGCTCTGTGGCAGATCCTGAATGACTTGCTCTCGAGACCAGCCGCCTGGGAAAAGCCGAGTCTGAGACTCAGAGAAGCTCCACTTGACGTTGGGCACAAAGCCATTATCGGTACTGGCAGTGCGGAACTGGTCTGGGTTTTGAAGGTCGAGCACTTTGTTCGTTCCGCCTATTTAGAGAAAGTCGTAAGCATGAATCACTACGGTTAGTACCCGTGAAGACCTCTTCCAGCCTTAAGAGGCTTACCTAGAATCGGCGCTCCTTTGGCACCGCTAATCGGCTGGTCATTGCCATCCTGCCTCTTAGTCCGAGGTACTGCAAAGGCAGAGGAAACAAATAGTCCAAAGAGGGCGAGGCTTTGGGACTTCATTTTGAATGAAGGAAAAGAATGTGCAAAAGAATGGGATTGGACTGAGATGCCTCAAGCCAAGCACGACGGAGTCATCCCAGTTATATATGACAATTCGACACTAACCCAACCCCTCCAAATACCGAGGGGGCATAGACCTCCAGGAATTCAGCTAGTTTCAATGTGCCGCTCCCTAGTTCCTCGGCGTTGAGATGTTGATCCTAATGAAATTGACCAGAACACGAGTTATCAGAAAGTATAAACAGTCACAAGAGATGATGCAATCCAGGAAGATCTACTCCGTATTCCGTATCCATCTTGCCTCTCACGGAAGAGGTTGCAAAAGAAGCCATCCTGAATCGATAATAGACCGGAAGGTACGGAGTAGTTCTCCGTAAAAGAAAACTAAGCATGGCCAAGGATATAACAACATTCTTGGCATCATGTCGAAATCGATGCCGGGTCTCCCGTGCTAATCGTCTCTGTGGGGAAATAGACGATGTCGATCCAGGGACCTGACAGGTAACTTGTTGGTCACGGGACTTGAAAGTCGACCCTGGATCACCTCATCGGTACCTTGAATGAGTACATAGATCCCACATTTCTTGGCAGGCGCGGATCATTCCTCTACTTTGACCTCTCTGGTTGCTAGTCTCGAAAATAACTTGACATTTGCTTTGACCTCTGGAACTCAATACCGTTCCTTGTTTGAGTGTTGAGTCGAATGTGAGATTTGGTGATCGTCGAGGGCGGTTCCTGGACCTTGCCTATTCCGGAAATTATGGATTCCCTTAACCCTAGTTCGACGACCCGTTCGTCCACAACGCATCAATGGCACTGATAGACAGGGCGAGGCTCAGTACCGGTATAGATCGGATTTGGTTTTGGGTTTGAGCTATTGATTTCAACTTGCAGTCTCTCTCAACTTTGGATTAACTTCAATCACGACATCTTCTTAAGATTAAGAAGAATTGACTTCTCAGAAAATATCTGAACACGGGGACCACAGGTCCAGCGTCAGATCCCGAGTCGGGGATTGTTCGGATTCTCATGTGGGCGTTGAGGTATGAAATTCGCCATTTCGCAGATCAGCGTCTCCTCGAGGAATTTGGAAGATCACACAAACCCAAAATGAGACTTTTTTGCGTGCTCTGTGCTGATATTGTCGAGATGGCTCAGGGGAAGAGCAAGATGGTACCTCAATTGGGGCGAGATGAAGGCATACCCGGGTATATAAGCTCTCGAAATTTCCCGCAAATATGCTCATCAAACCAACGCAATCCCGCTCATTCTCTCTCTCCAACAAGATGAAGTACTCTATTGCTTCTATTGCGTCGCTGATTGCTCTTGGAGAGTGTCTTTCTTTGCCTCCTCTCATACCCACTATTCCTGGAGTGACCGAGGCTTTGACGACCAACGCTCCTCCTTTGCCGATTTTGCAAGTCCCTACTCCTCCACTGGAGAGTCCTCCCTTCACGCCCAGTGACATCAAGCCGAAGAAGATTGGGTATTTCTGGACTGGCTCAGGCGACAAGTTCCATAAAGGTATGGATCTACGCATGGTGGATTGACGAGAGGAGATGATGCTAATTATCATTGGTAGACTTCCTTGCTACCTATAGTTTGGATGATGTAGGCCAATCCTAAGCCTGGTACGGAGTCATTTGAACCTAATTGCTGATTCGACTTTAGGACACCTTTGGAACCCTTTTATGGGTCACAGATGTGCCCAGCAGTGGCAATGACCCCCACCACCTGGGACCGTCGCTGGATGGAAAGACCATCTGGGGTGGTGGATTACTATCTCTCTTGAAGACTCAAGTATGTAGACTTCTTCTCAATTCGCCTTTCACAGCATATCTAATCCTTCATTAGGATACTGGTTTCTACTTTGACACCTCCAACCCTTACCGCCCCAAGTTCTTGAAGAGTAACCGCGGTATCCTTGCATCCATTGCGGATGAGGTTCGGGCAAAGCCCGATGGTGGATTTTTCATCACCTACATGGGCTCGGCCGTTGGTACCTCGCCTGGTCGTCTCATCGAGACTGATGCCGACTTTAACATCATTCACGAATGGCCCGAGGATGTGGAAGGTACTCTCAACATTCTTGAACAGCAGTTCTCCCCTCACGGACTCAGCATCGATTGGGAGAAAAAGCTCATTCTGACCTCGGACTTCGTCGAGCCGATTACTATCTTGAAGCCAAGTCTCGGAGTCCGCCGCGCCGATACACTGCGTCTCTGGGATCTGGACTCTAGAAAGATTCTCAGCACCCTCACAATTCCTAATGTAAGCCAGCCCCTGAACTTTAATCCTCATGCATCTTCTAACTCGATCAGGGTGGTGGTATCCAAGATGTCAAGTTCATTCCTGGACACCCGGAATCTGCTGCTATCGCCACTGCCGTGCACCTGGGTCAGCTTTGGATCATCTACCCTCTGCGAAAGGACGCCAATGGCAAACAGGGTGTGATCGAGCAGCTCTACGATCTTGGTCCCAAGGCCCGTGACACCATTGCCATCTAGTAAGTAGCTTATCTACTGTATACCACAAGAAAATCATTGCTAACAACATCACCCCACAGCTCCGACATCAGCAAAGACGGTAAATACTTCTACGCCACCCTTACCACAGCCAACCACATTGCCGCGCTAGACATTAGCGACCTCAACAACGTCAAGCGTCTGGATGACCCCGATGAGGATCAGCCTACCGTCGGACCTCACTATATCAAGGTCACACCTGACCAGAAGCACTTGGTCGTCACCGACTACTTCGTCCAGACTGGCGACATTGGTATCATCAACACCCCGGCTGACTTCAAGGCGCTCTACATCGACCTTAAAGAGGATGGCAGCCTTTCTTTCAACCGCTCTATTGACTTCCCCAAGGAGTTCGCCAATCGTGGTGGTGCTAAGCCTCACTCTAGTGTGGTCTTTGATCTCACTGACCCTGAGAATCCTATCTACTACTGAGTTATCCCAGTGGCCAATAGTAGGATATAGGACACTGTCGATGTGAAATGGAGATGTGAAATGGAGATGATGAGGGCGGGATATAATTTTTTCTCTTCTGAACTTGACATAGGCCTTCGGGCGATGTATTTTATTGTGGATATACTACAGCTACTTCTTAGTTACTACTAATGGACATCCACTGTACTTTTTTTGGTGAAGAAAATGAACCTAATATTACAGACACTTTACTGGGTATTGAAGGTAAATCAAAAGTGTGAACTAGAGTGTAGTATCGTGGAGAGAAAAAAGCAAATCAATATAAAGATATACTCATTAGAGCCCCATGGCTAAACTTCATGCACATTTGATGTAGCAACCTTCGGGCTTTCATCTCTCCGATGCCGACCCTCGATCTGATCTGGAGACACTGACGTACTAACCCCCTTGCCCACAACGATATCTTCTTCCAGCACAGCGCGGAATTCCTCGCGCTTTGGCAGGAGGTACCGCACATCCACAAATCTCAAAATGCTCGTCATAATAATCACAAGAACCAACAAGGCCAAGGCGGACTGCCACCCATATTTATAGAAGGGTGCCTGACTCGCAGGCCAGACGAGGACCTGCGACCACGAGGAGATGGCATAATACCCAGCAACAGCAACGCCGACCACAAGAGACCGCGCTTCTGGATCCTGCGGGATGAGATCAGAAAGCCAGGCAAAGATCAACGGCGCCGTGCCGAGACAGATATACGAGATGAAGTATGATGCATAAACAGCAGACAAACCCACCGACAGCGGGTGTGTAGTCCAAATGCTCATGATAATACACGGGACTATCCCGATAACCGCTTGAATAACGATGAGTGCCCAACGAGTTTCAAAGTAATCGGATAACAGGGCCCAAATCCACACGAACACCACATTGATCGCCGATCCTCCGATGGGGATAGCGTTGACTTGCGAGACGGTCCATCTCGCGCTTCCGTCTGGGTTCTTTAGCGATTTCAGGAACAGCCCGAAATAAACATATCCGTATGTTCCAAGAACCGTCGCAATATATAGAATCGCGATGAAGTAAACGACCCATCCCGAGAACGTGCGCTTCACGCCGGCCCAGGTCATCTTCTTTGGCTCGGCGCGGCCGTTGCGCGCCAGGCGTTCCAGCGAAAGCTCGCCGTGGACTTTCTTGAACCAAAACGCACGCGGGTTGGGTCTGTTCGGGAGATCGGGGAGCATGACGAATCCTGCAAATCCCCAAATTACCGTGATGATGGCGTTGATCACGAATAGCCAGCGCCATCCTGCTAGGCCGCTATGCCCGTCGAGAGTGTCGGTGATTGCGGCTTGCATGGCGCCCGAGAGCATTTGCCCGACTGCTTGGCAGGAGTGGTAGAAGCCCATTCGCTTGGCGAGTTCGGTTGGGGTATACCAGTGCACTGTAGGGTGGTTAATTCGGGTCAAGAAAAAGGCCTTGGAATGACATACTGAATAATGTCATCATTCCTGGCCAAGCGCTACTTTCGCATAGACCGAGGAAGACACGGATGATGTAGACTTGTTTCGCACTCGTTGTCATTGCGACCAACCCGGTCAGAACACCCCATGCAATCTCCAAGCCTGGCAGCCAATAACTTGGGCGTACGTAGGTGAGAATGACTTGAGAGGGAATTAGCATTATGCAGTAGGCGACGTTGAAGTATGTTGTGAATCTAGACAGTATCAGCCATCACCAATTCCGAAGTATGGATGTTTAGGGCAACTCACAGATTAAGCTCATTTCCGAGCAAGTTCAAATCCTCTTTCATGCCAGACACGTAGGCATTGTTGATATTCTGTTGATCAAGATATTTGATAACTGACAGAAGTCAGTTTTGCCGATCTCAAGCCGTGGGGGGATTTGTATGCCAACGCACCCTGTGAAAGACAACCGAAAGTCATCAGGAACATATCAAGGCGCCGGACCAAGGCCTTTTCCTCTGGAGAGCGGAAATCGACATTTGTCGACGCTTTGCGACGAAACATTTTGAAGGAGACCATGATTCTGGATTGACAGGGATGAGAGAAAAGCCAGGATTCTTGCGACGGTGGCTATTCATATACAAGCCCATGCAGATCCAAGCTGTGATAAGCTCCCTGCAACCCCTCAGAGATAGGTCACATAATGTGGACAAAGTAGACATCGGATCCTAGATCCGACAAGGATTCTGCGAGATGCACGCGTGATAAGCATTCGCACCAATGGTTGTATTCCTCCATTGACCTCGGAGGAATGCCGGAGTCGTTGATATACAAGATACCAGGCATGTTGGCTATTCACCCCACTTTCCACAAATGAATTTGGAGATAAGTTAAACTCAGAATAATCCTATCAATCAGAAGCTCTAGAGAGGAGAGAAAAAGCTTTCGGGTGGATGTCCGTGATAGGAGAACCACAGCTTCCCCGCATCTCTGCGCCGACAGCGGTGAACCCGAGACTCTCTCTCACACGGAGCTATATATATTCCCAAGGATTTACGGAAATCTTGACTCATTGCAAATTGGTTGAAATGTTGGTTCCGAATATCGCGACAAGCAGAAGCCTGCCAAATCCCACTCCTTGCTTGAGTTACTGGCAGCGAACAACTCGAGCATATCCACATTTGTATGCGAATATCGATGCAACTGTTCCATCGAACTCAAAATATGTCATCGTGGGATCTGGTATTTCTGGCGGTTTGACGGCCTTCAAACTGATCGAAGGAGGGGCCAAGGCCGAGGATATCGTGATTCTCGAGGCGCGAGAGGCTGCCAGTGGTGCGAGTTCACGAAATGCTGGACATGTGCGACCAGGTCTGTCAGGCTTCCTTTGGGGTTATTGCGGCCATTTCTGATTTGGAAGATAGATGCCTTTCGGGGTTTCAGTGCATATTCCAAAGTGCATGGAGAGCAACAAGCGTTGAAGATCATCCAGGATGAGCGACTCGTCCTAGAAAAAGTCGATGAATTTGTCAAAAAGCATAATGTGGAATGCGACTTCAACTTGACAACCACGTTTGATGTCTGCATGACCCCTGAATTTGCGGCTTACGAGGCAGAGAGCCTGGAAGCGTTCAAGAAAGCAGGCGGTGATACCTCGCACATCACGTTCTATGAAGGGGAAGAGGCACAGAAGAAGACCAGAGTCCCCGGAGCTGTAGCGGCCTATGAATGGCCAGCAGGCTCAAGCCACCCGGCAAAGCTTGCACAGTTTCTTCTTCAGGCAGTGATATCCAAGGGTGCGAAGCTCTTCACGTTTTGTCCCGCCACTGAAGTTGAACGGAGCAGTGACACAGAAACCTGGAAGATACACACACCTCGGGGAATTATAGAAGCAGAGAAAATCATTCATTGCACGAATGCCCATGCTGCCTTGTTGCTACCGCAGTTGGAGCCTTACATTCGGCCAAACCGCGCGCAGGCTCACTCTATCGTGCCTGTTCCAGCTTTCTCTGGGGAAAAGGCTCTACAGAGCACTTTCTCGCTCCGCTATAGCCTCCTCCACTTCTACTCCTTGATTCAACGGAAGGGAGATGGCACAATGGTGCTAGGCGTATCGCGATCAAACCCAACAATGAGCGCTGAGACAAGGGCTGGTCGATTCAGCACTGATGATTCCCGGTATAATGAAGAAATTGCCGAAGAAGCTTTGCGGACTTTTAGTCAGATGTTTCCTGCTTATTCATCCCAGGCTGTCATGCACGGTGAGGGCCTGGATCATGTTTGGACTGGAATAATTGGCATGACTACGGACTCTGTTCCGTTCGTCGGGGCAATCGATTCCCTCCCTGGGCAGTATATTTGTGCTGGATTCAATGGCCATGGTAAGTTTTGCTTTTGCTCTACTCCGTTTTGAAAGCGGAGGTGCTGACTGGTTATAGGTATGGCCCGGATATTTACATGCGCTCCGACTGTCGCCCAACTTGTACTTGGCAAGACCTGGGATGAAACGGGGCTGCCAGAATGTTTCCAATTTAGTGAGGAAAGGCTCGCACGGCTTTCAAATGGAGAGTTGCCTTCAATTTGGTAGCGAAGTGCTCATACCCGGGGGCCGGAGGATTGTCTGATTGGCTACAACTAGAGCTTCACGGGCTTGGACTCTTTCAAATATTTAGAATAGACAGGGAAAAATAGAAATCAAGCCTTTGAGCTGATATGTAACAACATATCGCGATACTCTAACACTGCAAAGGTCAGGTGAGTGAAGAGACAGGGGTGCAGCTTAGTCAAATTAAAACAAAGTTTCAGGCTGCTCTTTCCTAATTCACACTTTCCCCTTACCTGAGTATTTCATCACATCTTAAGGAAAGCAGCCTAGAACCTTCATTAACTATTGAGTTGGAACAACCCTAGAAGCTCCTTCCAATCCCCAGAGTGGGGCATCGGACCGTCCCGAAAGGAAGCTTCCGAGCTTCAATTCCTTGAAGCCAAATTGTTCCTCGAAACTTCACTATGATTGGCCAACGGTTTACAAGTCGCGTCACAAAGCGCGCATTCATTTCGCTCCGTACGAAACCACTCAACCTCCCTCCTACAGGCCCTACTTTCGCCATACCCAGCCACGAAGTCGTCGATGAAGAAAGATGTCCGAACTATATTCCCCAACACTACTATCCAGCAAGACCGGGCGAGATACTTGGCAATAACTACCAGTTGCTAGCGAAGATCGGCTGGGGCACGAGTTCGACCGTATGGCTAGCACGAGATATCACAAGGTAGTTTTGGTTCTACGCCAATCCTGTCCGAGGCTAATTGGAGCTGCTGGATTACCAGATATCGATGGCAGTCCGAGCGAACAGTTGCTTTGAAGATCTTGAATAGCTGCGATGCTAAATCTGCTAGTGACCTTCTTGGTATCGAGGAGACTGTTGCACAAAAGAACCCTTCACATCTGGGCTATTATATTACACGCAGCTGCCTGGAAAGCTTTGAGCTTAAGACGTCGGACAAAATGCACCTTTGCCTTGTATATGAGGCAATGCGAGAGCCAATGTCAATGTTTCAAAGACGCTTCAAGAACCGCATAATTCCTCTCCCGATTGCGAAGGCATATATTCAATTGCTTCTTGTCGGGCTACAGTATTTGCACGCCGAGTGCAAAATCGTTCATACTGGCAAGTGATATTCGACTCAAGCAATGTTATGTGAAAAAAAAAATTGCTAATCAGCAAATTCGCTCTAGATCTGAAGCTCGCGAATATCCTGATGACCTTCGAGAATAAGAAAGCTATCCCAAGGTTCATTCAAGAACAAGTCACCAGGCTCCCCATGCACTACAAGACTGATCCAATAACCAATCACACCACATACCAAAGCTATCACGGTTTCGGGGCAATGGACGTTGAGGACGTCGGGAATGTACTTCCGAGAATAACCGATTTCGGCTCAGCATGGCAGTTCGTCGTTGACCCGGAAACGAAGTCACAAAATGAAGCCGTGCTTACGTATCCTATACAACCGAGCTACTAACTAACACCGTGCGCCGGAGGTTGTCCTTGGCTATGGATGGGATTTCAGCACAGATATATGGAACTTTGGTGTCCTTGTAAGCCGCGTGAATATCGATGCGCCTATTCAGCTGTCAAGACTAACTCAATGGTTCCAAAGGTTTGGAACATCATCGAAGGCACAGAGCTGTTTACTCAGGTTGAAGATACTAACGGTCGATATGATGCCAAATCACATCTGGCAGAAATGATCGCTCTGCTTGGTCCACCACCTAAGGGGGTAATTGAGCGAGCAGACCATATGTCACAGGTAGACTTCCCTACACCAATTAGGATTGAGGCGGGAAAGCTGTCCAAGAATGCCCGAGAACTCTTTGGTGGTCCTTACTTCGATGAAGAAGGTAAGTCTTCTACTCGACGTATGAGTGTTTTGACTGATTGTTGGCGCTAGGGAAATTCCTTCACGAGGAACTCATACCAAGTCGAAAACCGGAGGATACAATTCCATCTCTTGATGACTCGGAAAGGGAAATTTTCTTGTCGTTTGCCAGGGACATGCTCACGTGGATTCCATCGGAGAGAAAAACTGCTCGTGAGCTGATGGAGCATCCATTCCTCAATTTCGGTGGACATGTTTCTAAAGATGCCTTGGAAGGGCGCTCTTAGAATGCGAGCTGTTATATCCATTGATCTCGGGACACTATGCTGCTTACAGTTTGTCTTACCGTCAGAAGAAAGCTCTCCACTATGTATGAAATCTCCACTATCTACGGTTATTAAAAGGACTTTCATGTATATTGTCATGGATATGCAAATCGAGGTTAAAATTATGGTACATGCTTCGCTTGTAAATGCAGATTACTATCATGATATGGTTGGAATGTCCGGTTCAGTATATATACTCCCGGGCAACGGTCTCGGTGAACGACCTCAAGAGGAAATCCCCGGAGATCTCGCTCTGCCATGGGCTCAAATAATATGAAAAAACCAGCCTCTCCTGGCGGGTATCAGGATCATAGGGCTATATCGGGGCAAGCCGGTCACCCTTAGTATTATATCCGAGTCCGAGACAAGCAATGCTCTCTTTCTCAGCAGGGTTGTCGAGTACGTGCTCACAGCCGACGTACAACCCCTTATTATATAGAAACAAAGAATCAAGATCGAAGGAATCACGGCATATATTCATAGCGCCGCCAATTCTCCTCAACCCACCACTTCGCCACGTGTGCCGCGTCGTTAATCCACTGCACAGCATCCTCTCCATGCTCAGGCAAGACCATGTTCATCAAATCCAAGAGGTTGAAATCCTGCAGTGCTTGGAGTTCATGCGGGTCGATCTCTACATTCGAGAACCTCCACTCGACGTCAGGAATGAGTGGTATGACGAGACGGTACGGTTTTGCAGCGGAACGCAGGGCAAGCCATGTTCCGCCGGTGTTCATGACTGAGAACTGCCAGTCTTGCTTTCCGTCTTTTTCTGGGATTGTGGGTCGGATCATTGATTGGCCTTCGTAGAGGGGGAGGAGATCTTGGATGGCGGATTTTGCTTGGTTGTCGAGGGATCCGGATTCGGATAGGATATCGAGGATTGTGGGGAGGATTTGCATTGAGGTTACTCGGGAGTCGATCTCGATTGGTGGTAGTTGGGGGTGGGCAAAGACTAGAGGGACGTGGAAGCTGGAGATGTGGGGGTTGTCGTATGGGGTAACGCCGCTGTTCTCGGGGAGTGAGATGCCGCTGTTGGGATTAGATTCAATCGATCGGAGAATGTTGGAGTTTGGTTGGCACTTACTGATCCCCGACCATCACGACCAGGGTCTCGTTGGCAACGCCCGTTTCCTCCAGGATGTCCAATAACTCGGCGAGCCATTTGTCTGCAACACCAAGCGTATTGAGGTAGCGATTTACCTTATTTTTCTTTCCCAGCCAGCCGTGACTGATCAATTCTTCGTACTTGTGATTTGGTGTGTCCCAAGGATGATGCGTAATGCCAGTCAAGTGCGAGATGAATAGTCGTTCTTTCCGTTTTTCGGCCGATTTGATTGCGTTGCGGTAATAATCCCCCAGCTCTGTTTCGGGATATCCCCAGAAATTGTACTTCACTGGTTGAAGACCACCCTGCTTGGCGCGATCCTCGGAAATGTTGATGTCGGTTACCTTGTGCTTGAAGCCCAACGCAGGTGTGAGAAGGTCTTGGTTGTCGTAGTCGTCAGTGATGGACTGCATCCATGTGGATCGCCATGGCCAAGTGGTATAGTCCTCCGTTTTGGTCCGGTTGGCCTGAGCGTTGAGTGCTTCCAGGATATGCGGCAGGCACGGTTGGTAGATGTGGTACAGGTATTCGCGATTGAAGTCCACGACCAAGGGAGCGATACCGCACACAGTCGCGAGGATACTCTTCAAGGTAAAGGTATCGCCTGTATAAGCGTTGGTAGCATGGAATCCTCCGTAAGGCTGTACAGTATCGTTTCCATTGAACCCGGAAGAAGTAGCTGTTAGTCTCTCTGCGGTGGGTGTTAGATTGGCTAGCCTTTCTTCAACCTCAGCAGGGATCTGGCCATTGTATGACTCGCGAATCACGTCCCCAAACCAGGATTCCTTGCGAAGTGGGAAGACGTCTGCGCGAGTGCTTTCTAGCTTGAGAAGTAACACGTGTTTGATATTGACACTGCCGCTTTGGAGAGCCTTGCGGAGAGGCTCCAGAACTTCATTTTCAAGGTTGGAGATATGAATGGGGTCATGTCTTGGATCATAATGCAGGCGCGCAGTGTGATTGGCATTTTCATACCAGTCACTGAACCCGGCCAGTTTATCCCGTGGCAGCCAGTCAAATGTGGGCGGTGCTGCCAGGGCTGTGTGATTTCCCAACCAACTATAATCACCTGTCAATTCAGGTAAATTAACCGATGACGGAGCGCGAGACTGATTCTTGTCGAACGGTGTGACAATGACAGTATCAGATAGAAAGCTATAGGCGGCATTTGAAGGGCGAATGCAACGCAAAATAATCACAAGGCCAGTGAATGCGAGAACAAAGACCCGCAGCCAAGGAGATCGCGGAGATTCCCCTGCATTTGCTTGGGTTGTTTCATGAGAGCCCGAGGTCAACTCAATAGCACCCCGACCCTCATCCCAGTCCTCGGGTGCGACTCGCTCATAGCTCTTCAAGATCGGAGAAGTTTGTTTCCTGCGACAGGCGGACGGCAGAACACTCTTAAAGATTGACGCAATTCCCTTGGTCCAATTGTATAGATGTGGGGTTGAGAAACAGGATGCGGCAACGAAGACAACCTCCACGATGATTAAACCCGTTAGGCCAGTGAGCAGTGTTTTGACAGCAGCCTTGTCGCCGTGGAAGTTGTGCGCTTGTTTCCAGTGGATCTCGGCTCCTGTTGCGACGTAGAAGGAGATATTGGCGGCTGATAGACCGGAGATTGTCAAACTACCCAAGAAATTCACTTAGCGATGGTCTCACTCAACCCTATGGGAACTCGTACCTAAGTGGGACCACCAACAAGGCCGCTATGACACGTGCCCATCGGCGCTGGTAATCAGCACACAGGATGTGAGCGAATGATACACACACTACATCTTGTAAGAAGAATGTCGGGCCCCAGATCATCAATTCTCCGGGAGATAATGAGTTCAGATGCGAGTAGATGTGAAGAATCTTGGCACAGATCACGGCGATGAACAACAGAGAGAACCAATACCTGCGCGAGACTGGCCAACAATGATCGAACCAAAAGGTTGGGGAGAAAGCTTTGCGTAGTATATTGCGCGAGCCATCTCGGGTCATGAACCTAGAGCCCATGTTAATTTATATATGTAGTTTGTGCCGATCTCAGGCATGACAATATAGAGAAAAGGTCACCACGGTGGAAGACAATGAACGGTAAATACAAGGAAGAGAAGGGGAAAAGAATAAGAAGGCCAAATAGAACCCGGCGAAAGGGGAAATTTTAACAGACAGCTCCGAACCAATTCCAAAAATAAAAATCCAGTCCAATCCAACATCACACCGTCCGAGTCTCCGATTTTCCCGCACTTTCAAGGCGACAGTATTCCGTAGCTCTTCAGGAGTGCTTCAGGGTCCACCGGTCTCACGTGGGTAGGACATAAGCTTTGGCACTTGTTCCGGAATGTTCGCCTGTTTAGTCATTTCTATTTCTAACACTCGGAAACCAATCGCATCTCGTCAAGCGGAGCTTATGGTGACTAGTCCAGGGATACGAGGGTCAGGCCGTAACTTAGTGAGCTGCGATTCCCTTGCGTGAGGTCTCCTTGCGTTCAGCCCGATAGTTATGGCCCGGACACATAACTGTGTTAGCATATGACATTGCCCCAGTGACCAGTCACTAATCGCCTCGTAGCTCGTATAACCAGTTTGGTTCTGCTGACTCGCTTACGGATTCCTCCGTATCCCGCACAGGAGGCTGAGCCACTGTCCAAGATTCTAGGCTACAGCCCAAAATATAAGCAGGTTTGAAATTTGGGTGCGTTGGCAGCCACGGGCTTACAGATGATCTCATTGTTTTTGTGCGAGAAAAGAGCTATGTAGGCATAGCATAATGGAGACTTTAATCCCAAGCACATGATGATCATAGTTTAGCTTCCGTGCCGCTCTGGGGTACAGAAGCCTGAACTTTGTAGATCTGTGCAGTCTCATGAACAGGTGCTTGTAATAAACGATGTTCCTCCTAGGCAACACTGGCAAGATGATTCAAGGGTTCTCATAGGTTATCACGAATCTAATTTTCATCCATCTATCTTCAGGAGTTCAATTCTGAAACAGCAAGGAAAATTTGGACGCCACTCATAAGGAGACCTAAATAGCCGAGGCCCCACCAATCATAATCCTCGGGTTTCCAAATGAGAGGGATAATATCTCTCAGCTTGTCTAATAGTTCTAGTAGTTATAGGACTTAGTTGACTGATTTAGAAAATCAATAGTCAAGAGTGAACACCTCAGAGTTAAAGAAGATTGTTAGTAAGCTGACTACTCGGATGTTAACTAAATTGCGGGCCTAAAACAATTAGGGCTGCCTATTTTCGAAGATCACCCTAGAACACATACAATAGGCAAATTCCATTGACCGTTATGATCGAGAACCCCGTCTCAACAACAGTATCCTATGTATCTCATCATTCTTCCCTCTGGTTCTATAGTCCCCATACATACACCCTTGGTATGTCTATCAATATATTTAAACTTGAAAGTGCAATTTTTGTATAGAATATAGTTGCAGGTCTAGCCAGTCTGTGGCCATTCATTTCGACATGTATACAACCCCACCCCTCGAGGGCCAACCCGCATAATGCACACTTCCGTCCCATAATTCTTGGACTCTCTCCTGGAAAACAAAGTTGAAAAAAAAAATACAAGACATAATATGTACTATATCTAGGATAGTTAGGTATTCGATTTTATAAAGCGCATTCCTAAGAGTAAATTTGCGTTGAATTCCTCACTGTGTCCTCTTCCATAGTAGGGACGAAGTACGAATAAAACAAGGCTAGAGAATCTCACATGTAGCCTTCCAGGGTTGGTCCACTCCTGTCAACGTCAACCCAATGATCGTCGACGGGAACCTCCGCACGTTGTAGCTAAGACTGCACCAACCCTCATTCAGGCTTTAACTGTGGAGCATGACGGTGTATGTCTCTCCCATTACCCAATCCCAGGTATTGAAGCTGCTACAAATTGACGGGACAACCGGCTGAAGACCATTGAATGATGTCTGTACATTAGTACAAAGTACTAATGCGTATTTCAACAGCCCCCTAACCTCTTCCCTTTACCCCTTTTCATCATCCCGAGAGGACCCCGGACCAGACACCGAACAATGCCGCAACCACTAGAGATCGCAGTGGTAGGTTCATCTATCAGTTATTCTCATTGCTATTCTAACAATTTATAGGATCCTGACGTCTACCTCCGACCAAACTATAGCGATGATTGGCATTCGTAAATACTCGCATTTCCCCCATTCAATGTCATCGACGTCTCACACGATATGACATAGGGAGACCACGTCTATCGGTTCCTCAATCTATCATGGCCTAATGGAAAATGGCAGACGGTATGTTTCATCCTACATTTGGCGCACCTGGGAGGTCGACCCGTTACTCATATACTTATTATCTATAGGTATCAAACTCTGAGCGACAGAGAATATCTGTATGCATGTTGCAGCATCTTCCACCAAAGAAATTGCCAACTTATGTCCGATTCTCACCAGGGTTCCGTCCGATGACCTAGCATTCGAGTCCTATGAAGCCGGGTACGTACGACCAACCTTTCTTACACCATGATTATCACTGACACTCTCAGTCACTTGCTCGCGCTCGTATTAGATTCGGAGCGAGAGAACCCGCTTTTCAGAGCGCCTATCGAGAAGGACCCCAAACATATCCTGGATATCGGAACGGGTAAGGGTAACTGGGCTATGTACGTCAAAAGAGAAAAACCCCCTCCCTCGTCGACAAGACTCACACCAATATACCGCTTGTATAGTGATGTTGCCGACATGTTCCCATCTAGTGAGTGCCAATCCCCGAAGCTCAGCAAGACAGTGAGCTAACCCCATCTAGCGACTGTGCGAGGAGTAGACCTCTTCCCACCCCCAATTACATGGATGCCGCCGAACTGCATCCTAGAAGTCGACAACATCCTAGAAGAATGGACCTGGAGAGATCCCCTCGACCTAATCCACATGCGGATCATGACCGGCTCATTCGATCACGCGGGATGGGATCACGTCTACGCAAGCTCCTACAGGTAAATGCCAACACCTAAATATCCATATCCGCAAGCATATGCACTAACACCAGGACTATCGCAGAAATCTACGACCAGGAGGCTGGATCGAACAACTCGAAGGCAGTACATGCATCGACTGCATCGACGACAGCCTGCCGGCAGATAGCATCCTGCGAACCTGGGGCCCGACCATGAACGCGTGCGGCGAGCGCGCCGGACTCGCGATGGATGTTCTCGATGCCATGAGCGACAGAATGGAAAAGGCCGGGTTTGTGGATTTGCAGGAGAAGTCGTACAAGTGGCCGATCGGCCCGTGGGCTCGCGAGCAGAAATATAAAGAGGCCGGCGTTGTTAATTTCCAGCATTGGCTTTCTGGTATGGAGGGGTGGTGTATGTGGCTGCTTACCCATTTCGGTGCGCCGCATCCTTGGTCGAAGGATGAGGTTACGGTTTTTTTGGCGAAGGTTCGTTCGGAACTTAAGAATCCGAAATATCATATTTACCAGAGAGCGTGAGTTTGGTCCTAGCCCTGTGGTGTGGTATTGGGGGGATTGATATGCTGATTTTTGTTTAGACGACGTGTGTGGGCGCGCAAGCCTTTTCCTGGAGAGCTTACGCCTGAGACGACTCCGATCAAAAGCGAGGAAGAGTGAATGATGTGGAATGACAGTTTTCTTAGCGAGTGGATATAATGATAATGTATAGGAAGGGAACTGAATCAAGATCTTTGAAGATGCTTACAATGGATATTTCCAATAGTCTCAAATAGGAGAAAACGCTACTATACAGCACCGGGTGAGGGTCAAGGCGGTTTAAGCCTATGATGCTGATCTTAAAAGCTATAATAGTCGAGGGTGCTCCACAAATATATCTACAAGGCGAAAATCGCAAGTGTAGCAATGTTAATCATGTTTCATTGGACAATGTCGTAAGCTAGCTAATTGCGACAAATGGCTCGTCATTGCGCTTTTCATAACATAAAATCATTGAAACTATTCTAGTTCCAAATTCGCCAACTGCGATGAAAAGTTCCGTCGAAGCCAATCCATGTATGTTTTCCACTTAGAAAGATCGCCTGATGCCTCCGGGCCGGGGAACGCCTTGCTCAGCTCTCGGGTAATCTTTAGAATTCCGAGGGATGCCTCCTGGGCCTTCTCCAACTCTTGCTTGACGGCGTTGTCCTTTGGCTTGAAGGAAAGCACAGTAGTGTAATGCTCCGACAAAGCGTCTAGGTGCCGCTCAGTATCCTCCGGTGCGATCTTAATCAGTTTGGAGGTCATGAGATTGCTGATTGCACGGATGTCCTGCTCGTCATCGAGACCAGCGAGGATGCGGTCAAATAGTTCGGCCGTATGGGTACGGGAGAAGGAGGTGTCGAGCGAGGCATAAAGGGTTTCGTAGGCACTCTGTAAATAATGATGTTAGTGGAATCTAGGGTAAATAGTAAGAGACACTGACCTTTCGCAAATCGAGCCCATCATCCACTTTGTGTTTGAATGGACCCATTTGCACCTCGCGAATGAGCTCTGGCTTGATTTTGGTGTCACCAAGAACAGCCGGAAGAAGCTCATCTAGGTGAGGGAGCAGAAGATCCATCTTGTTATGGATTGCAGAGTTGAGAGTGGTCAACGCAAGCCGGTGGTTGCCCAAATCACTGTCGCTGAGCATGTTGGTCAAAAGGGGCACCATCAACGGTCGCAGCACATCATTGTAAGCATCGCTCGAATCGGCAAGCGTGTAACGGAATGCCGAAATCACCACGCCACGAACAGCCGGGTCGGCATTGGCTAGGTACTCCTATGGGCATGAGATTAGTATTAGAAACGTAGCGCGATGGGCACGACTTACTTGGAAGTGGGGGATGTAAGCAACGGGGTCAAGGAGTGCCAAGCGACCGACACATTCAGCCCCAACAGCGCGGTTGTCTTCCTGTTCGGAGACGACAAGGAGGGCGTGCCACAATTTGTGAGCGGATGGTGCAAGATCCGGACGTACGACCTCTGGATGCTGAAGTAATTCGCGTACCGAATGGAGAAGCAAATAGCTTTGAGCATTTGATTTCTCCAACCCATTCAAAATGATTGGGAGATAAGCTTTGACGCTACCTGCGGCCGCGTTGCCAAGAGCAGTCGCGGCAGCCAAGCGCACGTGATCTGACTGAGATTCAAAATGAGGAATGAAGAGACTTGGAGTCAACGGGCACTCGGGGCCCATTCGCAGGCCGATTTCGCCTAGTATAGCAAGGGCAAGGCATTTTCGGCTAACATCCCGTGCAGTCTTGAGTTCTGTTGAGAAATCTTCCATTGTGACTCCAAGATTCGGTCCACCGTGGACCAGAAGGGTGCCAACAGCTCTTCCGACCACTGACGAGTCCCCTGTAATTCCCACGTCACGGAGAAGATTCTGCATCAAACTAGCACCTGCACCTTCGTCGCCAATGACTTTGACCAGCAGAAGCAACGCCTTGAGAACAGTTCCGATGAGTGGTTTGGTCACAATCGAGCAGATAGCAGAGATCAAACCGCTGGTCACCATTAGTTTTGCATTGCCAGGGACAAGTTTGGCAATAATGATCAACGTGGGTGTAAGTGTGTGGAAATCAGCTGCAGCGAGAAGAGGCAAAGCAGCATTCTCCAGTGCTGTGATTGTCTCAGGGGTGAGGTGAGATCTGATGTTAGAATTCATGGAAAGACTGCGGAGAGTTTCCAAGCACGCGCCTCTCAAGGCACGATCGGATTTGCGCAAGTTCGACCCTAGCTCAAGGGCGACATTGTTGACCCAATCACTAGAAACATCCTGTTTGCGGCTAGCGAGAACGACAACATCATCAATCGCACGGACAGCGGACAAACGAGTTGTCTCATTCTTCACTCGGTCGACCAAAACAGCCAGACCATTAGATCTCCTCTCAGATGAAAGGAACTCTGCACCCCGATCGCCTGAAGTGCGTGCGAGGATGACACCAAACACATGAATTGCTCGTTGCCGGACTTCGAGATCAGCGCTGGTGTCGGTGATTCGAGAGTGGACAACATCATAAAGCTTCTGCAACTGCAAAGTAACATCGGAAGGATTGGCAGATACGCGGGGCGGCGTCATTGCTTTTATAATTTGCTCCACAGCCCCCAAAGCCTCGCTGCTGACTTTGTAGTTGCGGTCGTTGACAGCTCCGATCACTCCAGGCACCAGGGCAATCAGGAATGGCAATAGCGCGTCGGAGAGATGGGTCTCGGCAATCACTGAAATGAGACCCAGCGTTTCGATTTGGAGGGTACCTGCACTGACGGCAGCCCCGGTATGAGCCGCTGTGCTCCCTGAGAGGGATGAGGTCTTGAGGGCATCCGCAATAAGGTCTTCAATTTGTTGGAGATGGTCTGCAAGACCACCATAGCGAACCAACGAAAGGCTTTTGAGGAGAATCATCACAGCTTGTTTGAGAGGAACCGAAGCCTGCTTCCAAGCTTTGACAAGGTTCTGCACAATTAAAGGCACAGAGCGAGCTAGATCAGCCTGAGAACCAGACTTGGGGGACGATGGCACAGCAGGAGAATCCATTGCGGACGAGGTTCCAGCACTCGGCTCGAAGTCAATCATTGACGCATCACTGTCTTGGCGTCTACGCTTGCGAGAATTCTTCGAGCCACCAACGGCCTCCAGGAAGTCGTTGGATGTGACGATCATGGATCCCTCGCCAGTCTTCCGAACAAGCGCCGTCAATGTCGACACCACCTCAAGCTTCACACTCTCTTCTCTCTCTTTGCTAATTTGGGAGATTAGAGCTGGGGCAATCTGCTGAAACAAGGCCGAGGAGTCGGAAGCGCGACCAAGCCCGTAGGCCGAGATGACGGTGTAAAGAAGCTTGGCAGCACACCGGCGTACCTTCCAGCTCATGTCGTCGATATCACTGTAGCCGCCTTCTTCTTCAAAGTCCTCGAATTCGTCGTCGTCTTCCAGGTCAGGCTCTTCTGTGGCATCATCGTCCTCACTGCCATCATCTTGGGTGCCTCCCATCTCCTCATCGTCCTCCACTTCAGCGACGTTTGGATCATATTTTAAAAATCGAAGAGCTGATCGAGTAGTGTTGGTTAGGTACGGTTGCATCTTTTTGTTGCAGGAGCTGATCAACGCCTCGAGCGTGACCAAGGCAGTCTCGCGGAGCTCGTCCGCCTGAGGATCATGTTCATCGTCTGAATAGGATGACATTGTCGCGATGATGAAATCACAGAATATGTAGTTTTTTTGTGAAAATAGGAAAGCGAAATTGCGTGGGCTTTGCGACACACGCGCTGGAGAGGTGTGTGGTGTTGGGGTCACCGTCATGAGCCTAGAGTTGCAGGCAAGCTAGCTGCCCCGCGCTAGTCCCGATATGGCAACAAACTCACGTGCACGACCTCTACTGCAAAAAGTCAAGCAGATCAAGTGATGGTTGGGCACGTTGTTTGGAAGCTAGAAGAGCTTGAAGACCACCTTGCTTTCTTGCTTTAGCCCTTTTCTTGCTGCTCTGGTTGTCACCTGCCTTGGGATCTGTTGAGGCCGGTGTTGAACCTTGCACGTCAACCCTCATAGGAGTTGACCCTCGCGTGGTGACTGTAGCTGCTCTAGACGAAGGTTTTGAGATATGATTTCTCGAATTCCTTTGAGGTAGTACTGTCCGCTGGCAGCAGCGTAGACACTTGTAGACTGTAGCACCTGTAGATGCCGATCCAGAGGCTAAAGGCTTGCTTTTTTTCGGCTTGATCTCAGTAACTTTACTCCACTGGGGCTTTCTAATGCTACCACACGCCCCACAGTGATCTCTCTTCTGCTGGGCATTTAATGACTTAGACTCCTCGTGGAGAAGCCGGGTGTGCACCGCTAGCAGATGAGCCGATGTCGACGAACCGAGGGGGACAGCCGAGACAGCCTGAATGAGAAAGGAAGGATCAATGTGAGACATTGTGTGGCCTTGCCTATTGAGAAATAAAGATTCGTATTGAGAAATCAAGCAATTGTCAGCTCAATAGCAAGGACAATAGAGGCAAACGAAGAACAATGGAGACAAACAGAAGACAATAGCCCGATGTTTGCTATTCAGAGATTTGCCGCGCGGGAGCTTAAAAGCCCCAAGCTCCACCCGCCGCTTCTTCCCATCTACATCTCTCTGCTCTCTACCCTTTCCATCTGCTATCCTTCTTTTCTTGCTTTTCATCTTTCGTTTTCTTTCCTGCAGTCTTCATCGGCTTTCTAGCAAGGGCTTGCATTCAATTTTTCCTTTTCCGACAGCCTCATTCCGGGGATTTTCTTATTTTTCGCGCTATCAAAATCCCACAGCTCAGTCAGATCATCCACGATGCCACCTGTGCGAATTGCCGTGGAAGGCTGTGTAAGTGATATTGCATGACTGCAGATCCCCCATATCATGTGACATATCCACTTCGCAGCTGGTTGCTAATCATTCTGTATAGGGTCATGGTAGCCTCAATGACATTTATGAGACTGTGGATCGCCAAGCCACCGAGAAAGGTTGGGACTCTGTTGACCTTGTTATCATTGGTGGGGATTTCCAGGTGAGTTCCTTGTCATGTCCGATTCCACACTAGCTCAACGTTAACTGGTCAAACCAGGCTCTGCGTAATGCCAATGATGCGACTTGTCTCTCGGTTCCAGACAAGTTCAAGCAAATCGGCGATTTTCATGAGTACTACAGTGGTGGCCGTGTTGCTCCCTATCTGACATTGTTCATCGGTGGCAACCATGAGGCGAGCAATCACCTCGCCGAGCTCTATTACGGCGGTTGGGTGGCCCCCAACATCTACTTCATGGGTGCAGCCAACATCATCCGCTTTGGACCTCTCCGAATCTCGGGGATGTCTGGCATCTGGAAGGGTTACGACTACCGGAAGACCCACTACGAACGATTGCCATACAACAGAGATGACGTTTCTTCCGTCTACCATATCCGGGAGCTGGATGTCCGCAAGTTGCTGCAAGTGCGCACCCAGATCGACATCGGTCTCTCCCATGATTGGCCAAAGGGGGTCGAAAAGCTTGGGGACCATGCAACACTGTTTCGCAAGAAGTCAGGCTTCAAAGCCGATTCTGATTCAGGAAAGCTCGGAAGCATCGCGGCACGCGAAGCTCTCAATCACCTGCGCCCTGCCTATTGGCTTTCAGCTCATCTGCATGTGCGTTACACTGCAAAGGTGTCCCATGATCCACCTCGCGCAAATTCCATTTCTTTGAGTCCCCCCAGTCCTCATCTTGCTGTGGCCGATACCCATGCTGTGGGCGATTCAAATGCTGTGTCCGATACAAATGCTGTGGCCGATACAAATGCCGTTGACGATACAAATCATGCCACTGTGATCCCACGGAGTAATGTCAACACCAACACCCTTGCTGGCCACCAATTGCTTGGTACTGCCACTGGAGACGAACAGTCTCGCATCAAAGCCTGGAACGAATTCGGAGTTAACGCTCGACGAGCTGAGAAGGAGAAGCGAGACCAAGACGATTTTATGCGTATGATCAGAGCGAGAAAGCCGAAACCTCCCCGAAACATTACGTTTGAAGAAACGGTCAAGATTGGGCGCGGTCCCGTTCAGACGTTCGTACGTGGCGCCGATGGAGAAAAAATCGAACCCGCCCCAGCCGACGATGAGAGCATCGAAAACCTCGACAAAGTCAGCCAGGGAAACAGCCCTGTGAATATTTCTTCCGAGGAGGCCGTTGCCAAGCAGGGATCTTCGCTGCTTGCTGAGACCACCGAAGATGTCCAGACAGCCAAGCATGTCAAGACAATGCAGGATGTCAAGACTACTGACGTCGCTGACAATATTGATAAGATCAGCATCTCTACCAGTCCCAGCAGCACCGCGAGCGTTAAATCTTCTCCAGCTCAGAAGGCTCTTCCAAAAGCCGATATCTCTCTCAATTGGGGTGGTGATCCCTCTCCTGATTCCTGGTGGAATGATGATGTGGGTGATCGCGTTCCTGAAGTGGAAGCCGAACTTCCGAGCAGCCTTGCGCAGTCGTTTGTACCCAAAGCTGCCACAAATAACTCAACTTCCGAACGCCTTCCACCTCCCGAGATGATCAAAAATCTTGAGACTCAGTTCCTGACCTTGGATAAGCCACACAATCATGATGCCTTTGTCGAACTGTTGGAGATTGAGCCAATTTCCGAACAGGATGATGCCCCAGTGGAGTCTCCCCTACGACTCAAGTACGACAAGGAGTGGCTGGCCATTACTCGTGCATTTGCCGATGAGCTCGAGTTTGGTGGACACCCCAAGGGCAAGGTCCCTGCCCACAAGGGATTTGAATACTACCAACAGCGTATCGCCGAGGAGGAGAAATGGGTACAGGAGAACGTTGTCAACGCTGGGTTGTTGAACGTTCCCACTGACTTCGTCCTGACTGCCCCCGTCTATGACCCCAATGTTTCGATCAATACCCAAGAGCAGCCGAAGGAGTACACCAACCCACAGACCTCTGCCTTCTGCAATCTGATTGGGATCGAAAACAAGTTTGACATGGCCGAGGAAGAGCGTCAGGCTCGCATGGCGGCCGGCCCACGCCCCGAAGAACCTCGTCAGTACACTGGTCGTGGTGGACGAGGTGGTCGTGGCGGCCGTGGCGGTCGTGGTCGTGGTCGCGGCGGCCGTGGTTCTGGACGCGGTGGTTATGGTAGTCGTGGTGGGCGTGGCAGCACTGATGCCTGGTAATTTGATCGGTGCTTTCGCGTTTCTGTTGGCGGCTTGACGATTTCGAACGGGGGAAGTAGGAATTTTTGAAGTTAGAATATCTTTACCAATTTCTTTTGTTTTACTCTCCCCATGTATGTATGTCTACGAAATTATGAAACCATACAGTGATCACCTAGTTTCGACTTGGATTTCTGCATATTTGTGACACGCCAGAATTTCTCAGTTAGCCTGTGCTCTACTGGCATGTGCTATGTATCCTAGGGCAAAGTTTCCCGCCACTCTCTCCATCCGTTCAGTGTTAAGCCATAAATCTGTCTTCTTTTCACTTGGAAGTGTCTAGATGTATATTTATCAAATGCATATATGCTTTTCGTTGCATTTGACCTTTCCCCAGAGTCTTCGTTCTTCGTGTTTCCGCCTCCGCTGTGTTAAAATATTTTTTTGTTCGAGGCTTTTATTCAAAGATGAAGATAGATGAAGAAGCTGATCAAGTCCGCCAACAACCTAATACTCTCATTGAAATGGTAATCAACAACCACTTCAGCTTCCACCAATTGGTTGTGACCTTGTAAGATTAAAAAAAAAAGATGTGCATCATCCGTGAATCGAACACGGGCCTCGTCGATGGCAACGACGAATTCTACCACTAGACCAATGATGCTGAGGCACCAGACAATTCTGAGAGCTGATTCGTTGGTGATATCTGGTGGTCCCTGTTATCGTCTTTGAGGCATCTCTGAAGTTCTAGATCTTTGAAATCCAACTGGTCATTTTTCCAAAGATACCTACTATTATTTGATATTTGATGGATTGGAATAATGATTTGCGAGAAATGGTAATTATTCGTCACATGGTATCGGAGCAGTTGGCTTCATTCAATCTCCTCGATGCGTGGATGTCCGGTGCTTTCCCATTCCATGGGATCAACCTGTAGACCGGCGATCCTGTCACCCAGCCCAAATTGTGGATTGAAGCCATCTTGACCATCCTGGATCTGAGCGCCAATGCCCCACATCAAGGACTTCTCCGACCAAGCTTCCAAGCTTTCAATCAAGGCGCGCAGATTTCCACGAGCGAGCCCGTCCTCCTCACGACCCTCGACGAAGCGGAGAGTTCGTAGCATGGCAGGGATGTTACCAATGGTTGACTGTCCCTGCATACTTGAACCACGTGGAGCCGAAAAACTGGAAGCCGAGTCGTCAAAAAGAGAAAAGCCAAACCCGATGTCCCGGTTTCCGCGTCTCTCCCGCGCTGCCTCGAGAGCTTTGAGAATGTCGAAGAGTAGAATGATACTCGCCCGGCGCAGGATAGCACTCTCTGGTTCAGTCTCGAGAGTTAGGGTAGCAAGCGCGAGTTCGACGGCGGAAGAAAGAATGACTGGGCCAAGACCGAGGATATTGACGTTGATGGCTGATCCAAGAATGGAAATGGCCGATGCCCGGATGCGAAGGTCATCAGGAGCATCATCTGCGGATGCACCGGCAGCCCATGCAGCAACCACGTTTGTAGCGTACGCCGATTGCTCTGGGGATTCGTCGTCTAAATGAAGTTCTGAGAGGTCAAGCTCGGAAGCAGCGTTGGCTACTCCTGATGAAATGGACCAGCCTTCCGGCATAGCTGGCTCTTTTGCCTTGCGCTGTGCGCGTTCTTGTTCCTGTCTCTCTTTGGCGAGTTTTTCCTTGCGGATTTGCTGTGCATGTTGCTTGTTGCCACGCCGTCCTGCAACGGCAATGATACCCTCTCCAAGAATTTTGGCCGTATCACCGACCAGTGCGTCTCCTAATTCCTGGACTGTTCGCAGCAGACACTCACCAATCCTGAGTCTTTCGTCCAAGGCTCGTTGCTCGCGTCTATCTGCGTACTCTTCAACCAAGGTTTTGATCACGGTACGTGGGTGACGTGATGCTAGTGTACCAACTATCTTAATTGCACCGAGGTATGCGTATTCCTCGTTGGCAGCGGTTTTAGATGTGTCGGTGATGAGGGAGAGAAGGAGTGTGAGGGTCGAGCCCACATCAATAACAGGTGATGAGTTCATGATCAGTTTCGAAATCAGCGATAGGCCCTCCGCCTGCACGGGTGGTAGGTCTGAGTTGAGATTGGCAAGCGCCTGACGATGCGTGTCAAGGTCCTGAACATGAGCTGGTACTGCCTTGATTGTGGTTTCATCGGTAGCGGCAAGGTGAATCTCCAACAACATAGACGAGGTCGTTGCTGCTTTGGAGAGGATAGTGGGTAGAAACGGAATAAGTTGATCGAGGTCCTTTTTCAAAGCTCCAAGGAGGGGTTGGATTTCGGCAGTGGGAGAGAACTCGGCGGATGCAAGAAGTGTGGACATCAAACTAAAGGCTGTCGAAACGGACTCAAAGGAGTCGTTGCTTAACTCATCCCTGTCGTTGTCCTTGGTTTCCACAATATTAGCCAGAGATGACAGGGATACCTTGCTATTTACGCCTCGCATCGCTGTTTCTTGGGCGCTAAATCTATGTAGCTCCCCATCAATAACCTGCTTGATGAGCTCTAAAACTCGGAGCGGGCGTCGAGTGAGTGCTTCTTTGAAGTTCTCAAGCAGCTTCTCTGCAACCTTGGCACTGACAAGCCTCTGTATGATGTTGTCACTCTCATCAACGGGACCTCCGTTCAGTGTCTTGCGAGGGGGTGCGGAACCTTGGGGATGCACCAGCCAGTTTTGACTGACATAGAGGAATATATCCCCCGTCCGTTCCTCACTGCTAGGATCCGAGCCGATGAGACTGACGAAAATATCTGCTCGTCCTTGGAGGGAATCGATCAATCGCACCAGATTTGAATGCTCATTCGTTTTCTCACTCCGCTTCTTCAATGCGACCCCAGCGTCGGAATTTTTCACGTATGTCCACGTCGAGCCTCCATCCCAAAGCAGATTATCAACCAGCTTTTTGAGGGGTTGGGCACCAACAGAGATACCAAAATATGTTTGTAGCAGAGGCAATACCCTTCCATGGAATGAGGTCAGCTCTTCCTCCTGAGAGAAACAAACTAAGCCCCATAGTGGAAGAATAATCGGATAGACGATTCGTTTCACGAGACCGGGGTTTGGATGCTGCAATGTCAGACACCTCAGTCTGCTTATAGCCAGGTCCACTGTGGCGCCATCCACCAAGACATTGGATGCGGGATTTGGTGCCACGGAATTTGGAAAAGAGCCTTCAATATCGGTAAAACGGGTGATCCATCGCCTTGATTTAGCGTCAAGATTCGCGGTAAGTGCATTGAATATAGGCTCTATAAAGATGGAGTGGCCGACAGTACCAGGAGCACCATAAGCCCGTTTCCCCAAAATTCCATTACCGACAACGTAGGATGCAGTTTGCCTCAGATCCGGATCATCGCCGTCTATCAATGCTAGCAGTTGGGGAGCAATTGTCTCAAAATAGACAGTTGGGTCAACATCAGATGGCACAGAAGAAAGGAGTCGTGAGATTTGCATGATCGCCTGCACAGTCAAACGAGGGCCATGTGACTGGTCCTGTGCTTCCTGGCCTAGCGATGGGGAAAACTGCGACGCAATGAACATGATGGTTTGCACTACTCCACCGGGTCGTAGCGGAACTTGCGCGATCTGGCTGGAGATAGTGGACTTGAACCATGGTGCAGTATCTGACTGGAGGAACGCGGACAGCGTAGGTAGCAACACAGTGGTTGGGGTACTGTAGGCTGTTAGTATTACTTAGAAATAGTAAAAGCAAGGGGAACGTACTCATCAATTATTTTGGCCAACGTTTTCTGATACTTAGTCCGGTCGAATGATGCCGTGGTATTTGGATTGAAAGCCAGATCGGCCGTGCCACTGATTATATCACTCAATATACGACCACGAATGATCGGCTGGAGGCTTGGTCTTGGGTCGAAAAGAACGTCAACCAAAACGTCGATTATGCGGCGCAAAAGAGGCTCATCGTGCGGTACACTACTAGCAGATGCTTGAGCCTGCTTCGCAATGACACCAGCTGGTAATACCGATATCACACGCTGCTGCAGGGGGATCCCAACGCCAGATGATAGCGAAGGATATATTCCTTCCAGAGAAACCAGGTCCAGTAATGCATGTAGCATCCGACGACGCTTGGCATCTTCTGCTGGTGAGTCTTCAACCTCCCCGCAGGATTTGAGTGACCCAAATTGGTCCTCAGGTGATACAAATGATTTATGGATACTGGTCAAAATATCCAAAGCCCTATTGATCACCGCTGGTCTCGCGGCATCATCACCCTCCGAATCCCGACTGAGGATCTGCAACAAGGATTTGCCTTGGGTCTTCTTTATTTCCTCTTGAAGATATAGTTAGCGCTCGACCTAGATGTAGCTTGACATCTCAAAGGTCCATACCTCGATCGAGAACTGGGGTCAGAAAGTTCTTAGCAATGCCAAACGCGTCGCGAAGTTGCTGTTCATCTCCCATCATAAATAATTGTAGGATACTATCATGCTGAATTCACGCCAATGAAGGTATTTTCCTCATCGACATTGTCCGGTTCCAAGGTTCGAAAAGTAAATGAAATCACCACGAACAATTGCGGTCTTGGCGTTTGTGGCTGATTATGTCATAGCAGATAAACCCGTGACTGTGGTAATCACGTGATAGTCGCGTCAGTGGCCCGCGCTTGCCCGCATTGGTATCGTCGCGTCAACTGAGATACGTTGTTGTTGTCACCAACTCCGTCTACTTCTATCCACTGCTCATTTCACAATTTCAATTGACAATGTTAGACCGATGTGGACAGTTCTCCAGCTACCCCGGATCTTGCTTGTTCCCACGACATTCATTGGACCCCATTCTCGTTCAAACCTGCCACAGTTCCACCGCGACCGTTTCCTGAGTGTGGAGCCACTCGAGTCTCTTGCCTTACAAGGCACACATATACAGATCAACCCTCTCAGATCTTCATTTTCCTCTGCTGCCTTCAATGGTGAACCGTCACGTATATCTCGCCTTCGGTGACTCATATTGTTTCGGTGCAAAAGATATTGAAGTCAACCCCAAGCCTCTCTCGGTTCAATGTCCACAGCGACACAGTTTCACGGATTGCGCATGCCGGATAATACGATTAGCCGAAACAGACTGTGATGGTCCGATTAAGCGAAAGATATTCGAATCAGCCAGAGCCTTAGGGCACAAAAGACGGTTTACTATGCGTTATCCAAATGGAGAGCGCGTCGGTTTACCAATGCTGGACGCTGCATGCCGGTCACAAACGGATGGTCGCCCTATGCCTCGGATGTCAGTTCAACGAGAAGAGAACGTGGGTGAAGCATGTCGGGTACTTCGGTATCAGATGTTACCTTGAGGAGCAACCACGACAGCGCGACCAGATGGCGATTGAATACGACATTCAAGTCTCGAATATCCTAGGGCGTCAAATTGTTTGGCTCAGATATTTGTTGCCTAGAACACAGCAGTATCCTTACACACAGTCATAGTGTCAGCATATCCAAAGAATCCACTCGCCGGAATCAACATTCCTCTCCCTGAAAATTGCCCAGGCATTTTCACAGTTGAAGTTGTCGCGAGGTCCTTTGGTTATGCTGCCCTATGATTCTTCAATGTTGGCCCTAGGAGCACATAGAAGATTGCGAACTGTTGTCTCGTTCCAGATGGCAATAAATTTCCCCAAACAATTTGGTGTTTTTCGGACTTGTTTGTCTGTACTCTATCGTCAGTTCTGCGATCATCAGCTGTCTGCTCCTGCACATGTTTCCTATTCCAGGATCCCTGGGGGTCTTGCCCCTGCGTTCCACCTTCTTGGGTTCTGTTACTCCTACGCCCCACAGGCGGCTAGGCACCTCGTATCACGGCACCCGCCACTGATTCGACTTCGTCAGAAGATCTCGACCGACCGTGTTAGCCATCTCTTCGCAAAGTAGTTTGTGGATAGATCGATGGGCGCCGATCTCAACAATGACTTCCACCATTGTTCCTTCCCTAGGGAAGAAGGAAGCGATTTTTCTGGATGTTCTTTGTCCGCTTCACAATATGCCCTCCCGCGACACCCTCGCGTCTACCGGGAGAGGAAACAAAAACCTGTCCCAGAGGGTACTGTACCACACACGGGAGACTCGGCTTCATGCTCTTGCGACGGTATCGGTGAAACAATGGCGATTTGACTAAACGTGCGGAGATGGGTGGCCGTCAAGCAGATTTGGTTGAGTTTACTGTGTCTCATCCAAGTTTGGCTTGTCTTTGTGAAATTTGTGTGAGCTCTGGTGAGTTTGAGGGATATGTTCATCGGTGTCGTCTGCTCCCAGACATTCCTCAGCTCCCATTTGCGCCAATCTTTGATGCTCGCCTTGATCTCTCTCGATTGATGACAATTTTTCTGGTCGGAGCAACGTACGGTTTCTATCGTTCGAACGCTTTAACTCATCAGCCCATTTACAGTCGGCATGGGGGATGTCCTTGGTCGGGGTTCTAACCTGTATGCGTCATGCAGTAGGTGTCGTGGGACCTCTCTCGAGTGAGGATCAAAGCTTTGGCTTGTCTACGATGCTTATCTGCTGCCATGCGTCCCGACTAAGGCTCGTCTCTAATGTCTGGTTGTAATGAACTGAAAAGCGACGAATTGGAAATCGGGGGATCTCTATACCGCGAATGAACTATTGTTTGGTCATTGGGACTTGGGCGTTGTGTCAATGATGGTTTTTTCTTTCCATGGGAGCAGAATGTTTGGCCAGGCGATAGCCGGTGGACTGCCGTTTCTACTATCCTTTGGTGGTAGAAGCGGCCACTTTTTTTTTATAAGTACCCCCAAATCCTCTAATTCCAAGGTGATGCTAACTACTTATATTTGCAGATTCTGGTGCTTGGTGGATATGACAGGAAATTAAACAATAAGAATGTTAGCTAACACAATGGACAATGCACGTTGTACACCTGCCCATGGATCCATGTAGATATCAATGACGTCACTACATCATGCCATCCTCACCGCCCCCCAAATAGAAGGCGGTGACATATGTCATGGCAGAAATGTAATACATCATCCCACTCTTTGTCAGCCCCACCTGCCCCGCGCAGAATAGGAAGGAATGTTCCCGTGGCTCCGATATTTTTTTGGCGATAAGAATTTCTTGCTTGGATCCAACTTGCTTTACTATAACTTCCCTCGCATTTCCCTCTTTACACAGATATTTTCTATCCCACTACACATTATTTCTCATTTCTCTTTACACAAATCATATACAATGGTCACCGTCTCCAAAGCCGACAATGATGCCCTTGAGGCACAGTTCGAGTCGCAATTCCAAAAGCCCGGCGATCTTGTGGAGCGTGATGATGACACCGGTGCGATGTCAATTGAATCACTCTGCATGAACTGCCACGAGCAAGGGTTCGTTTCTGATATTCGATTATGTTTTGCACATTGCTAACCTTCCACTTTAATTAGAGTCACGCGCTTGCTCTTGCTTCGAGTCCCTTACTTCAGAGACATTATCCTGGAGAGTTTCGAATGTGAACATTGCCACTTTAAAAACAACTCGATCAAATCCGCCGGCCAGATTCAGGAGCGTGGAACAGTCTACACTTTGAGGGTCGAGAATGAGGAGGATCTTCAGGTATCTATCTCCAGCTATAATTCGTTTTCTCCTGCTCAAGCTAATTGGATATTTAGCGCCAAGTCATCCGGAGTGATGTTTCAGGATTCAAACTTACCACTAAGGAAGGCAAAGAGATTGAAGTTCCCAAGGGAACAGGCCAGCTGACCAATGTGGAAGGCAGTATGTGAAGCCCAATGCAATATAGTTCGATCCCAAGACGCTAACCGTATCTAGTGGTTCAACTCATTCATGAAAATTTGTCAGGAGAGCAAGATCTCCGTAAGGAGCAAGCTCCTGAACTTTACAATGCCCTTGTGCCTGTTATCGCCAGTCTTGAGAAGATCATGAAACGCGAGGACGCTTTCCCCTTCACCATCACGCTAGATGACCTCACTGGAAATTCGTGGATTGCACCTAACGCCAATGATCGTGGCAACAAGTACAAGCGCCATGAATACCCGCGTACCCACGAACAGAACGAGGAGTTGGGAATCTCCGCTGACGAAAACGCTGTCAACAAAGAAGACACAGCTGAAGTGGGCGCCGGCGACCCAGATGATCTCGATATCGTTGATGGCCAGGTCTACAGCATCCCTGCCGAGTGCCCCGGCTGTAATAAGCAAGCCGAGGTGAACATTAAGAAAGTCAACATTCCTTACTTCAAGGAAGTCCTGCTGTTCGGCACGAACTGTGATCACTGCGGCTACAAATCTTCCGCAATTAAGACCGGTGGCGAGGTACCCGAGAAGGGCAGACGTATCACTCTCGAAGTGAAGAACGAGGTTGATCTCTCGCGCGACATTCTCAAGAGTGACAGCGCAGGACTTTACAGTCCCGAACTCGACCTAGACGTTCAGCCAGGAACGCTCGGTGGACGTTTCACCACCGTTGAAGGATTACTAGGTTCGTTCCCCTTATTTGATTATATTGACCCAGCTAACCCTTTATATAGTTGAGATCCGGGATCAGTTAAAGGGTGCCATTTTCGATGTTGACGATTCCGCACACTCCGGAGGTGACAGCATGGTCTCTTCCGATAAGGATAAATGGCAAAGATTCTTCAGTCGTCTCGACCAGGCTATCAACGGCGAGCTCAAATTCACTATTACTTTGCAAGACCCGATGGCCTCGTCTTACGTCCAAGACCTTTGCAGTCCAGCTGCCGACCCTCAGATCACCATTGAGGACTACACCCGCTCTGCCGAAGAGGAAGATGATCTAGGTCTGACACACATGAAGACCGAGGGTTATGAGGAGGCTGAGGCCGAAGCCGCCAAGGCTAAGGCCGATGCCGCCAAGGCCGATGCCACCACGACCGATGCTACTCAGAAAGAGTAGCCGAAGGATTACGATGTAATATCCATTTCATGAAACTCGCGACGATCTGATTCTTTTGGGATTCTTGCATAACGGCGTCTGTGATATGTACTTTTTTGCTGGGGTAATTAGATATTTGGTCATACATAGGGATGAAGTCATAAAAGTTATTCTACTGTCTACTTACTTTATCATGCATTTCTTCCCAGTAAAACTGTTAATAGGAGAGGCCTACCGAGAGAGAGGGTCACTTTGAAGTGTGGATTGAATTGTTGAAGCTAAACTAGAGCTGACATGGTAGAATCTCTCTGTATCTACTGATCATATCTAATTTTGCAATTCATTCTCTAAACGGTGTACAATGCACTAACACGAAACACATTTCTCGAATCTTCTCGCAAGCACCAGGCACTTCATATCCACGAAGCGATTCCAAAGTTCAGATGCCACCACCATAACAGCACCTAAAACGATCATGGTTCCCATCCAAGTCATAGCAAACGATAGAGCATGCTTGCTCGCCTCGATAGTACCAGGATAAGGCGTTCTTGTAACTGCCCACCACAAAAAGTCTCGCACCGGCCATTTAAGAGCGAGATAGACTGTCGGGTGGACTAGATAGAGCGGAAATGAGATCTTGCCCAAGTATTGCAGTGGCCGGGAGTTAAGTGGCCTTTGAAGCAGCGCAGATTTGCTAATTGCATATATCACCAGAACAGCTCCCACGCTCCTCCAGCACCGGGGCATCATCTCAGCATTATCCCACTCGGGAGATCGAGCCACGGCCAGCCATCGGTATTCAGCTGCTAACCGGTCAGCACCGCACATGCAAAGGAAATACATCCCTAGAATGAAAGAGACTGATATTCCAATCCGTTGGAGATAGATTTTCTCTGTGAATTTGTTCCAGGCTTTGGTAATGGGCTCTTGAATCTCGAGAGGTGAAGATGAATACGATAATGCAATCTCTCTGTCTGGTCCGGACTCTGACGCGACGTGTCTCTCCGCAAGAAGAATCCCAGCAACGAAAGCGAAGAGGTCCCAATGTCCCATATAAAACCAATACATCGCCACGCCTACCAATGCCAGATACCGAGGCTGGGGCTTCCAAAACGAGAACGTCAAGATCAACAAGTAGACAGCACACGAGCCACGAAACTCAATTGGCATCGTCCACAGCTGGTAGTTTATAGTCCTCATATCCGGTCGATTGCGATCAAAATTGATATCGACTTGATGGTTGCTGATATCCAGCAGATGCACTATTCTCGAAAGCACATATTGGACGTGAGCCCAAGGCGCCGTCAAGGGCTTTAGCCCGCCTAGCCAGTCATCCGCAGCTTTCCACGGGAACACATTGCAGAAGTACACAAGTTGGCTTAAAAATAGTATGGCGATAGACGGCAGATAAATTCGAAAGATTCGGCGAGTTGCAGCAGAGCATAATCGACGAAAGAATCCGACATTACTCGCCCCAACGTCCTCGCGACATCGCAGAAGCGGAAGAGAGATCGCGTAGCCCGATATAACCATGAACAGGGCTACCATTGACGGGCCATTGAAGAGAAGTCGGAAGGGCGGAAGTTGGATTAGACGATGGTTTTCTTCGGCCGGTTCGTCCCAGTAGGACCTTGTCAAAAAGCCGACGATACTCTTAGGCTCCGAGCTCTTTGAATGGTGTATTACTACCAGAGCTGAGGCTATGCCCCGGAGGCTATCAAGCCAAAGAATGCGCCCCATGCTAGGAAAGTAATTTGTACAGAAAGGAGAGAAAGTCAACGAGGGCTGATGCTTTGTTGAATAGTATGATAACTTCGGTAACTTGTATAGAATTAGATTACAGAAAGGTGCTTTTGTCTGGAACTTGACCTATAAACTTAGTCTTCAAGCTAGTAACACTAGTAAAAAAAAAACTCGAGATCGATACAGCTGATCGCGTCTGTAATACAGGTGGCAATGAAACCCTGCAAGACGACGATGCACGATATAAATAGGGTTCATCCTCGTCCCTAAGAGGTTATATATACGGGGTACATGCAGGAGCCATCACAATATGATAGGTAAACTGTGAGATCCCAAAAACAAAAAGCAATTGGTCGATGACCCCAAAAATGATATTATCGTGTGACCCCCTGCAGATCCCTAGACTTACGCCTAACTATGAATTCATTGGTCGCATTGGACACAAGTATTCCGTCCGATTTTCAATTTTCAATTTTCTACAAAGTAGATCGTGATCGTTACTCGGATCTGTTCGGCTTTAGAATCACTGGGCGAATTTCACGTTCAGATGGTTCCAATTCGTTAAATATTAGGATTAAGCCAACTTTTTCCTAGCAGTACCCAATATAACTTTTTCCTTGAACGAGAAATCTGCAGAGTTGAGTTTCTCCACAAGTAAGGCAGCTCTATATGCATAGTGCCCAAATCTATATCTTGCCTGACAAGGCATTCAAGCCCACAGATTCGGTCTGTGCACGAATCTGCTTCTGCCACATAGCTTTATATCGACCATTAGCAGCCAGAAGTTGCTCATGGGTCCCAGTCTCTGCAACCCGACCTTCGTGCAATACAACAATGTTATCAGCAGTGGTGATGGTGCTCAGCCGATGGGCAATTACTAGCACTGTGCGCCCACGTGACAGGATGGCTAGTGCTTCTTGAATGTTCTGCTCCGTCTCGGAATCTAATGCGGCCGTTGCCTCATCAAGCAGGATGATCTGAGGTTTCTTGATAATGGTTCGGGCAATGGCGACGCGCTGTTTCTCACCACCACTTAGTCGTAATCCACGATCTCCCACTTTGGTTTCGTAACCGTCGGGGAACGCCATGATCTTGTCGTGTACACTGGCTGCACGGCAGGCCTCGTAGACTTCCTCGTCGGTGGCGTTTTGGTTGGCATATTTGAGGTTGTACATGATTGTTTCGTTGAAGAGAACGGTGTCTTGTGGGACGACGCCAATGTGTCTGCGTACCGAATCAATTGTCAAGGTCTGCGTATCGTATCCGTCAATAAGAAGATTTCCGCTGCTCGGATTGTAGAACCTATAGAGCAAGCGGAAGATTGTCGATTTCCCGCCACCTGATTCTCCTACCAGAGCTGTAGTTGTACCCGGTTTACAGTCAAAGGTCAATCCGTTGAGAGCAGGTCGTCGGGTGTCATACGAGAATTTGATCTCGTTAAATGTGATTCGGCCGTGACAGACTGCTAGCGGTGTTGCAGACGGTGCATCCACTACCGATGGCTGGACGCGGAAAAGCTCGAGTAGACGCTCTGCGTTGATCAACGCTGATTGAATGTACCGGTAGAAGGTTCCGAAGATGTTCAATGGGGCTTGCAGTTGGGCCATGTAGGTAAGGAGCGTCACGAACTGGCCGACTGGACGTTGACCACGAGCAACTTGGTAGGCACAAATAAAACAGGTGATGAGAAGGCCAAACATGAAAATGACATTCTGGCAAATATTCATCAGATTCTGTGCGAATAGGGAATGCCATTCCGCACGGAGGTAGTCTGAGACCGCTCCTCGATAGCGATTGAACTCGTATTCCTCTGCGTTGAAGTATTTGACAGTTTCGTAGGACACAAGGGAATCATTCCTGTGTAGGTTAGTAAAGCGTAATGAGATAAACAGAGACGTAATACAAACTTACTTGACAGCGTCTTCCTGTCTGGAAGCGTTCACCATTTGACGTCGCATATTGGCCCTCCAAGAGGCAATCTTGATGGTTGAATAGAGGTAGAAGAATGTCATGACAGCAACAGCCAACGCGTAGTACACGTCAAATACGATTAGAAAATAACCAATGGCGATGGTCAAATCAATGAACATCGGCAACACTTGAAATGTCACTTGCTCAAGAAAAGTGTTGATTGAGTTGCCTTTGGTGAGGGCAGAGAGAACCTCGCCCATCTTTTTACCCAGGTGAAAGTCCAGTCCTAGGTTATGAACATGCTCAAATGAAGCGGTTGACAACTCCATGTATGCATACTGGCTCACTGAGATCCACAGATTCGAGCGAACCGACTCAAGGAAACCTTGACTACCTTGAAGCCAACGGTAGATGATATACAGACAGATGGGCATCCAAGGCACTTTCAGATTTCCATCGCTGGTGGACAATGAGTCTGCGATCACTCCCACTTGATATGGGACTAGGATATTTACCGCTCGCTGCACAATCAATATAGCAAAGCACATGACGACGACAATTTGCAACCGGAGAGACTTGTAAGGCCACAGATATGGAAAGAATAGGGAATAGCCACTCAGATATTCCATCCAGTTGGTGGAAGGGGTCGTCAAAGGCCGCACCCATGCTTCTACTTCCGGGGTCTGTTGACCATCGGTCAAGGCATCACCATCATCCGAGTTGGCATTGCCTCTTGAATCTAGCAGGCTAGTCGTCTCTCCGGCATCGGCATCCTCAGCCTCCTTGAATGCGCAATGTTTGCGGGCAGATTTGAAAATGTAGGACGCGACCAGCAGTGTGAGAACAAAAATCCGCACTGAACCTGCGGAAATCTCCAATGCCTCCCAAAATGTGATCTTTGTACGCAATCTTCCACCGAATGGATCTTCGATTGTAGGTTCATGGTGGATGTGGGAATAGATTGAGATTGAAGTTGAGAGAATGGCTATCTCGAAGGGAATGGCCGAGAGCCATGGGACGAATTGCGCGATTGACGGTCCACGGTTCTCGAGTAAAGAGATGAAGATAACGGTATGAGTGAAGAAAGCCCCGACGACAAAGAACTAGGTTTAATTAGCTTTGCTTTCAATTTTGGAAACAGGTATCGCACCACTACCGCTTGACCACACCACCACTGCTCTGACTTTGAAACTATGGCATGGGTCATATGAATTGCTGCCTCAGCAATATAGGTTGCCAGCACAAACAGATCCAGCCAAACAAACCAGCCCTTGGATCTATTCCGCGCAAGCTCCGCGGGCAAGTCCCTGGCCACCGCCATCATCATTCGGGTTCGCCTAGGCAGTGGTTTCCCATTGGGGCCATACTGGACTTTAATGTTGCGATCAGCATTTCTGGCCACCTGAGAGGAATGGACCAAAAAGACGATAAAGATAAACCCTAGCAAAATCGGAGGGTATCCAAAGCGAAGATATTGAAGCAATTCTTGGGCAACGATAGCCGAATCCATGGCTGCAGGCTTATAATCAAAGACTCTCTCAAAGTGGCTTTGACCGGGCAAGACGGGAAGAGTGGGAATTGCCCGGGAAAGTATGTGATTGTCTTCACATGCGAGGAGTTGGCTGCGAGATCGCAAGCTGAAAGTTCACAATTGAGCTGTCGTGCGCTCACATTTTAGTTGCGACGGTGCTGTCAATCAGTGGAGCTCGGAGGGACACTAGTAACGCCACTGTATTGGCTAGTAATCTTTACTTCCAAGATTGTGTTACCCATCGATGCATGTCTGACCTGAAGATCGGGGTCAGTGACTTGTGTATACTCCAGACAGACGCTATTATCTAGTATATAGACAAGTATAGAGTACAGGGTATGTACTTGACCTCGTACCGAATATATATGTACTGGATTTCCGCCCTTCTGGACCTTCTCCTTCCTTTTTGGTCGTTGTCTCTTACCGCTCTTTTATCAAGGGCTGAGCAGGATGCTTACATAATTCACATACTTTGCCGTTCAAGGTTCGCTCACCGACACCAGCATCACCTGACTATCACCTGACCATTTGCCTATTTAAGTGCCCTGATTCGCCCATTGAGCAGGAGCTGAGCGGCTGGGTGCTGCGTACGTCAATCTCCCTGGGACGATCCGGGTAGGCCGCTGAAGGTCAAGTTAAGGTGGCTGGACCTCATACTCAGCCTCCCATCGCCGATACCATGAGAGCATTGGTGGCCATCCAGCTAGGTTTGCTCCCTATGTTGCCCGTTGGAATGCAGACTGTATATATGCATTGCATAGGGATATTGAAATTGTTCATTTAATTTCTCGGCTAATATATCTCATCATTACTTGTTCATGGTAAACTATACAGTAATATATCCACCATCAACTACCATAGCATGACCCTGTACAAAAGAGGCCTGCGTGGAGCATAAGAAAAGGATTGCATCGGCGACCTCTGCTGGCTGACCCATTCTCTTCATAGGGGCTATCTCCGCTGCTGGAGTGATGGCCGCGCGAATCTCGGGATTCTCCATGATGAGTGGTGTTTCAATGACACCTGGACAGACACAGTTGACTCGAATCCCATTCTTGGAATAATCGATACCATCTGCCCGAGTCATTCCAATGACCGCGGATTTTGATGCACAATACGCAGCTAGAACACTTGTCAATCGTGGGTTTAAATGGACAGCAGCGCAGAACTTACGAGCACCTGGACGGCTAACGATTCCCAACTGACTAGCAACGTTCACAACTGCGCCCCGCTGGCCAGGACGGTTAGGGTCGTGACTTGGGAGTTCACTTTGAGACACCATCTGTCTAAGCTCTGCTCGAGAAGACAGCCAGCAGCCTCGGTAGTTGATATTGTTGACCCGGTCAAATTCTTCGAGGCTCGTTTCCGCTGAGCGCAATGACTTCCCAAGGACACCTGCACAGTTGACAGCATAGTCGACTCGTCCGAATTGTTGTACGACTGCGTCAATAAACGAGTCTGCGAACTGGTCATCTGCCACATTCCCAGCTTTCACTAGGAGTTGAGTCTTGGGGTATGTAGAAGCAATGGCTTTTGCGGTTGTCTGCAAAGACTTTTCGTTTAGATCTGTGATAGCAATTCTCTCACATCCTGCTGCGGCAAAGGCTTTGGCTGTTGCAGCGCCGATTCCTAGATCATGTTGGTGATATATCCACAACGGTCGGCTATGCTACGTACCTGTTCCACCAGCACCAGTAATGACTGCCACGCCAGGAAACATATTGTATGCCATGAGTGATCAAAGTTAATTATCAAATCATTAAACTGGCAAGTCAATCTAGTCAAGAAGTCGAAGTATAGCATCGAAACTACCCCAACTCGGAATCCCACCTTTATCGCTTATCACGGGCCGAACTGTTCCGAAAGTACCCCGAGTTGGAGTAGTTGGAGTCAATTCTCCTATCTCGACATCGTTAACTATATGAATGTACTAGTTATGTACATACTATGTACTATGTAACATGTAGTTAACTACAGAGTATATTGAGCCATCTTATGATATCCATCTTGAATAGTATTGTTAGCATGTCCGTTGAAATTCTCCATTTTGTATTTTAGTTGGAGAGCATGCATGTGTTGTGCTGTGTTATATCCTACTATAACTTACATGTAGTTATGTTGTTCAACAATTTGTACCTCATCTTATCGCATAAATATAGGTCCAGACCGACCCCAAATGATATCCAAACCACAGTTCTAGCTATCAGGACGGCAGGAGTATCGAAACAGAGAACATCATATGCTTCATTGAATATCTATCTCCAATTTTGCCAGACTTACCCCAAACCCATATCCACATGCCAACCTCACCCCTATGATATTCAATCCCTCGTGGTTTCGTGGGGAAAGTGGACCAGACCCATTCCGTCTTATCGCGCGTTAGTGTGCAATAGCTGTGACCAAAGTACTGTGAACCTCCGGATAAATTCCAGGGTGCCAAGCCATACATAAGCCTGAGGAAAAACAGAGATAAGTGCCCTCCTCAGCACTTGTCTATATATACCGACCGTGGGTCCCCCAGTTCAGAGCTCCCTGTTCACTGCCTATATTTACATCTGATTGGAAACCTTCTCATCCTCGTTCAACATGGCAATTCATACAGATGAGATCAAGGAAACCTCTCCCTACCCAGACGACCCCAAAGCCGTCGAGACACAAGAAGGCGAAGTCGACGACAAATTCGAAGTCTTCAAACGGGGCGAGGGCCAAGTCGATTTTCGAACTGTCAGTTGGATTCGGGCTTCAATTATCTTTCTGAAGAGTCAGTTTAGTCCGGTCTCACTATTGCTTCTGTGAAAACTGACACCGTAATAGTCATCTTCGCAACCGGCGTCCTCTCCATCCCATCATTGATGTATGAGCTAGGGGCATTCCCTGGCGCCGTTTCCGTGATAGCTTGGACTGTACTCAATGCCTATTGCGCTATTGTGCAGGGTAACTTCCGCAATGCCTACCCGGGCTGCCATTCCATCGTGGACATGGCCCAGGTGGTCGGTGGACCGATCGTGAGGGAGCTTGTTGGCTTCTTGTTCACGGTTAGTTATATTATTGTCGCGGCATCGGGTGTCATTGGCGTATCGACCGCATTCAATGCCCTGTCACGGCATTCCATCTGTACCGTTTGGTTCTCGTTCATCGCGATGATTATCATTACCATGTGTGCTAGTGTGCGCAAATTCTCGCATATTGGCTGGCTCACCTGGGTTGGATTTGGCAGTGTCTATGTTGCCGTTTTTATCATTGTGTAAGCTTTGGCCACTTTTCATCTCTCGGACCAAGTACTAATGGCTCTAGTATCGGCGTAACAACACGAGACCGACCAGCAGCAGCGCCCCAAACAGGTGACTTCGACCTCGGCTACCGAGTCATCGGTGACCCCAACTTCACAACCGGCATCACAGCCTCGGCAACGATCTTCGTCTCCAGTGCAGCCACATCCGCCTTCCTCCCGGTCATTTCGGAGATGCGCAGGCCAAAGGATTACCCCAAAGCAGTCTACCTAAGCATGAGCCTGGTGACAGCCTCTTACCTGACTTTCAGCCTGGTAATCTACGCCTGGTGCGGCAAGTGGATCGCCTCCCCATCACTTGGTAGCGCCGGCGAAACCGTCAAGCGGGTCGCCTACGGCATCGCCCTCCCGGGCCTGATTGTCAGCGGCTGTCTCTACGTACACGTCGCAGCCAAGTACCTCTTCGTGCGAATCCTGCGCAACTCGCGTCATCTGCAAGCGAACACGGCCGTGCATTGGTGCACTTGGCTGTCGTGTACGATTGGTATGTCGGCTATTTCGTTTGTTTTGGCGTGCGCTATCCCCATCTTCAACTATGTGTTGGCATTGGTGGGCAGTTTGTGCTTCGCGCCTTTGGCGATTAGTCTGCCCGGGTGGTTGTGGTTGTATAGTCATCGCGATTATTGGAAGGGGAATGCGCTGAGGGTCATGTTGTATGCTTTCCATGTCTTTCTCGTGCTATTAGGGCTGTTTTTGGCCGTTGGAGGCACTTACGGGGTTGTGGTGCAGATTAAGGAGGCTTACGCTGATGGACAGATTGAATCTGCCTTTTCTTGCGCTGATAATAGTTGAGAAGTGCCGAGGTCTGCGGAGTACGATGTATACAACATACCTCGTCAGGTCAGGTCATGTCGGGTGGTGTGGCTACCATCCTCACCTGTTGTTATTTAGACTGTTTTCTATATGAGTAATTGCCATTGAGACTATGATCAACGAATAAACTACAAGTTCACCTTTGATTTCCTCTTGGCACTTCTGCCGAGTGCCGTTTCCGCAAACGAACCCGAATCCGCCAAATAAGCTGCCTTTCCTCTTTCGTGGACATCTTGTTATTTAGCTCAATATTATCAAGATAGTTTCTACCGTATAATATTGGAATGTGTACAATGTAGATCTTGAATTGAACGGGCATGCTATGTATTCGCCATTATCATTTATTCGTAACAATTTGACCTTGTATTACCGCACTCTGTGGGATTACTGCAGTTGGATTGCAAAGTGACCTGGTTTTAATTACAGTTTATTGATCCTCCGCTGCTTTTTACTTTTTGCTTTTTGCTATGTTGTATATGGAGTACTCCGTAAAACTTCTTATTCGGCATAGTCAATGATTATACGATGAATAGCTCGCGTGATACATTTAATGTTGCCCAATAAGCCGTACGGAGTAGGGAGTGACGATTTAGAATATTTACATAGCTTACATCGAAATACCCCTTCTATTGATATAAATCATAGCTTAGCACATGCGACCCAGTACAAATAGGTTGTTATAGAGGTCATTGCTTTGGCTTGGATCATCTTTCAGTGATGGCCAAGGTTCGTAAAAACCAATAGATACGTAATATTCGGATTTTGTGTATTTTATGACTTTAAGGTTCAGGTAAAGCGCGGGAAGAGCCATGGTTCTACTCCATAGTGGGTCGACCTTCTTAGCTCTAACCGATGCCGATTTGCTCTCGAAGCTCAGCTCCACAGACAGTTCTTCAGCTTCAATACAATAGTGACTTATGTGGAGAATAATACATCGTGTTACCAGGCCACAACAAAAACCATGGTCCCTATTTATGGCTTAGAGCGGGCTGTATCTGTTCTGTTTCTGGGATAGACTGACTGCTATTGATCAATATCAGGTTGGCACTAGAGTAGACACAATGGCTTTCCTAGGGCAAGGCTGCCTACATGCATGTCAAAATGTCCTCTGGTGGCTAGCTGAATTCAATACTGGAGCTGTATTCATCAGAAGCTAGGAATTGCGTACTTGATGACCTAGCGTTTGGTATCCATCGTTACAAATTCATCATCCGGGCTTTCAATAATGTCATACCCAAGTACCTGATGTGTGATCTGCAGCTCCTTAGGCCTATCATGTCTTCAGCCACTCAGCCATTAACTGAGACAAATTTGGCCTGCGGACTACGAAGACGGACTTACTCGCTTGAACATATATAATTGGCCACAAAAAGGTTGTGTATGCTGTAGCTTAGTATCCAATAGAACGCTAATTATGCGATGCTCCCCAACATGATCCAGACAGCGTATCCATTCTGTCACAGATCGACCTGACCTACGGAGTATGTAGTCACACCGAGATCCACCGTATGTTGCATAAGGTGGCACAGCTGAAGATCTTCGTATTATGTCGATCGTTGTCTGATCGGTGTATTTTGAGCTAGAGTCAAAGAGAGAGCCCTTTTTGAGATTACAGTCGAATGAAAGTGAATGATATATTGTTATCCTATTTCTTTTTTATGCTCTGTCCTTCTATTGAAATTCTCTACCCCATAGAATGGCCACCTTAGAGCGAGCTAGATTCGAGGAAGATGTTTTGCCAACCACCCTCGACAAGCTCATCATTCCAAAAGCAGAGGACGGCAACTTCGCATTGACTGCATTACCCGAGGCCGACTCCATCACCGAAATCGTTGAATCTGTCCTCGGCCACTCTGTTGAGCTGCACCGTCTTCAAGCATCCGGAGCAGAAGGTCAATCTGGCTGCTCCATCTACTTCGTCCGGAACAGTACCCATCCGGAAAGAACCGTCGCCGTCACAAAGGTATATCCACCGGCATGTCATAAAGACTTCTTTGAAGAACTCGTTGCATATCGGAGGTTGATATCTCTTTCCGATCCACCGTCTGCTGCTCGGCCTCTCGGGGTGGGAAGAACGCGCGATGAGAACACCGCAGAGCCTATCGGAGTGATTGTCTACCAGCTCGCAGCAGGTAAGGCAATCAACACAATTATCCGTGACATTGGTCGAGTCTCCACTCTCCGACGTATCGCAAAGCAGCCTTGTCCGGAAGAAACAAGGGAAATAATGAATGATATTGTTCGCGGTGCGCTCCATGGGATCTCAATTAGTCATAAAACACAGCAAATCCAATCATCCAATATTCCAACTGCTGAGATGTTGCACTGTCAATTCAATGGACTGATGGCCGACTTGATTTCTGCCGTCCAAGGAGTGGCATTAACAATGGCCAAGCTGCACCGGGAAAAGAGCGAATGGAGCAGTGCCAGCGAATCTGTCGTCGAGAGACTCCGCAACAAGTTACAAGGTTGGGTCCAAGAGATTCAGGGCCCATCGCGAAAGCAGTATGAACGCGCTATTGGATCCCATAAAATACAGCAATTGGCCTCATTGGTTGACCGAGCGATTGAATATTCACGGGAAGAAGGTGTAGCGTCACTACTGCATGCAGATGCCTCGCCGGGAAATTTCTTCTGGGACCCCGTTCAAGGAATTACCATGATCGACTACGGGGGACTGACCCGCTCGATAGATGCGAGCGGCCGACCTATTGGACCGGCGGAAATGGATGCGGCTGGGTTTCACGAGCGACTGCGAAAGTATGCCGGGGATTTCGGAATGAGTGAAGCTGATATTGGCCAGGTTCAGAGGGGGTTCTGGAAAGCGTACCAGGCGCAGGGTATACCGATCAATGAAGGGCTTGCACGGTTGTTCAAAACACGCACACAACTATCTCGACTATGGTCTGCTGTGGAAAAGCAAGATACATCACGCGATGAACATAAAGCTCTCCAGTTCAGCGAAAAAGTTGAATTCGAATGGGAACGTCTTGTCAATATCTCGCCCGAAAAGATCCAACCTTGGAGAGTGCTCGTCCTTGCCAATGCCAGTGGGCCAGGTAAAGGAGGTCTGCCTCTGTTGAATCAAGAACTAGTCAAGGCCATGTCAGAAATCCCCAATGCATCAGTTACTCTATTCATGGTAGAGCCTGAGAATGAAGTCAAAAACACATTGGCATGGTCAGGGCATGGTCGGGCTAAAGTAGTCTGCATTCCCTCTAGGGGAGCCGACCCCGGTGCCTTGCTCTACCATGTGGCGAAGGTTCAACAGCCAGGAGATTATGGTCTGCCCATTCCAGATGACCAGCATCCATGCCCATTCAATCTCATCATTGGCCACTCGCGATACTCTAGCACCGCAGCTTCCTTGATACGTGAGAGATGGTATCCCACAGCCAAACTCGCGCTCATCACACATACAAGTGCTCTGCGCAAGTCAGACATAGCATGGAAGTGGTACGGACAAACACGCGAGCAAGGCTATGTTGAAGCCGCTCGGCTAGCAATGCTGGACGAGAGGATTCTTCCAAAAGCAGATTTGGCCGTTGGAGTCGGGCCTGTACTCACAACTGAAGCACGAGAACGCGAGTGGATGGGCCAATGCAATCGGCCACGATCCAACATGACGGGACCTCGCTTTCATGAACTAATTCCAGGTGTGCGCACGGGTGATGCTTGCACGCAACAGCGACAGCCCAACGACCTGTTTCGGGTCCTCCTCGCTGGTCGAGCAGATGATCCCGCCAAAGGCTTGGACGACGCCGTGTACGCTGTGCGCAAGATCGCACTCTCTGGAAACGAGATCTCCCTGGACGTACTGGGGCTCCCAGTAGAAGACGTGGAGCGCTGGCAGCAAGCCGTCGATGAGATGACGGGCATGCCAGACCTCGTCAGATTGCACCCTTTCTCCGATGACCCCGATGCGGTCTCGCGGTTCTACTGTAACGCGGATTTGGTCATAATGCCCTCGATGCACGAAGGCTTCGGAATGATTTTCACCGAAGTGGCCGGACTGGGCGTTCCCATCTTAGTGACGCAGGAAAGTGGCGCAGGTCAGTTTGCGCTTGATCGCACTCGCATTCCGCCGGGACTTGGCCAAGCCTGTGTGGTGATGGACGAGAGCACATATGGAATTGTCCCTTCACCGACAAGCCAGCGCGTAGCCGTCTGGGCTTATCGGATCGACCAGGTGAGATGTTACCCGGAGCAAACGAGACGGCATGCTCGTTCTCTACAGCGAATCATGCGAGGTTATTCGTGGAAACACGCCGCTAAGGCTCTGCTTCGCTCCGCGATGGAGGGTGAGGGAGATACAGTGCAGATGGCGCATGGCAGCATTGCACCGGCTTATTCATCATGGTCTCGTCCATCGCTTGGGATGAGCGTGGTATCGTCAATGCGGCGAGCTGCACGAACGCGAAATCGAAGCGGAAAGCCGACTTTGAAGCAGGCAGACGAAGTAATGCAAAATCTTCCAGAGATAGCCCCGACTATTTCAGCGCTAGCAGAGCATGTCTCTGCTGCTGTTGGGTGTCCTGTCAACTTGCGGAGTCTCGATCCCACTCATCCCGGGGGCTTTTCTGGTGCTATCATTTTCTTTGCTTTTGCCAACGATGAATTTACCAATGGAGAGACAACGTTGTCATCTAATGACCGATGCAAAGACCGTGCGGTTGCTGTGGTTAAACTGTTCGTCCACGGCTTGGATAATGGCATCACGGAGGAGTTGTCAAGCTTAGAATGGCTTCTTTTGCATACAAAGGGGGACATCAAGACTGCCGCCCCGTTAGCCGTTGGGCAGATGACGTGGGATACGAAACCAGCTGGTGTGGTCACATATCAAGTTGCCCCCGGGGTATCCCTTTATCAGCTCATGATGCAGATGGGCCGCCTACCGCCGGGACCTGCGAGAAGAGACATGCTATCCGCCTTCATTGCTGGCGTACAGGCAGTTGCACGTACCTTAGCCAGATTACACA